GATGGAAAATAGATCCAACCTAGCAATTGCAACTAGTAGTGTATGTGTGTGTGTGTGTAGGCTGAGGTGGGTTACAGAAGGAGCCAGACCCAATTCTGGCAGGCAAACACAAGAGTCAAGTCTGGGATCACCTCAGATGAGATTTCTTTGTGGGTCCTCCCAACTAAACCAATGGTCTCGAAATTCCAACCATGGGGATGGTGGCAGGACCTGTGGACTGACTGTGGAGTGCATGTGTCAGAACTGGGCCTCCTCAGTGGCTTGGACGGAGCAGTGGACAGCATGGCCAGATGCACATGGGGGATATGGCAGTCCATTGGAGCCTGCAGAGGACATCTGGTACCATAGCAGAGGAAAGAGGGCAGACCAAATTCCCAGTTAAGCTTGACAGCACATTTCTGGGTGAATGGAGACTCTGGGCTGGACTGTGTCAGCCAATGGACTTTGAAAGGATTTCCTCACCCTTGGATAAGCAAGTTAGACAGCATCTCAGAACTATCAAAACCATTTCAGCAGAATCCTTAGAATATGTTCCACATTGAGGACTCCGGGATGACAGCAGGTGGTCATTCCCCATCCCAGGGTACTGAGGCAGTTGGGAGGCTGGTTCTCCCATTATTTCCCCAATTCCCCCAGATACAGGAAGAATAAAAAATGCAGAAACAGGGCCAGGCGCGGTGGCGCAAGTGGTTAAGATCCTCGCCTTGCACGCCCGGGATCCCATATGGGCACTGGTTCTAATCCCGGCAGCCCCGCTTCCCTTCCAGCTCCCTGCCTGTGGCCCGGGAAAGCAGTCGAGGACGGCCCAAAGCTTTGGGACCCTGCACCCGCACGGAGACCCGGAAGAGGCTCCTGGCTTCGGATCGGCATAGCATCGACCGTTGCGGCTCACTTGGGGAGTGAATCATCGGACGGAAGATTTTCCTCTCTGTATCTCCTTTCTGTATATCCGCCTTTCCAATAAAAATAATAAAAATTAAAAAAAATTTTTTAAAAATGCAGAAACAATGATCTCACCCACTTTCCTCTAATCCTCAACTCTTTCCGTCCTAATCAACTATGTAAACATCAATCAATCAATCAAAAGATGTAGTCTACTTGAAAGGCAGAGTAACTTTTTAAACATTATTTTATTTTTTATTGTAAATTCAGATTTTTATTGATTTATTTTATTTTTATTGGAAATTCAGATATACAGAGAGGAGGAGAGAAAGAAAGGAATATCCTCCATCTGATGATTCACTCCCCAAGTGGCCACAATGGCTGGAGCTGTGCCAATCCAAAGCCAGGAGCCAGGAGCCTCTTCCAGGTCTCCCACGCAGGTGCAGGATCCCAAAGCTTTGGGCTGTCCTTGACTGCTTTCCCAGGCCACAGACAGGGAGCTGGATGGGAAGCGGGCCACTGGGATTAGAACCAGAGTCCATATGGGATCCTGGAGCATGCAAGGCAAGGACTTTAGCCACTAGGCTACTGCATTGGGCACCATAAAGTCAGACTTATAGAGAGAAGGAGCGAAGGGGCTGAGTGCATTGGTGGACAAGTGAGCTATTCACAAGCCAGGAACAACTGGGCTTATGACTAACCTTGGAACACCAAGCAGGAGATCGACCTCCCCCCACCCCGCCAGTGCTATCTCTCCTTTGTACCTCTCTCTGGTTAAAAATAATAGAAAAGAGTGTCCCTGGTCTCAATGCTATCTTCTTCTTCTTGCTTTCCTCGAGTTGTAAATGATGGACCAGAGCATGCCAAGACACTGTTTATGTTTTCTCTCTTATTTTTTTTTTTAGTTTTTTTAACCTAAAAAAAAAGTATTTTTAAATATGCTAGTTTCATATAAGGATTAATGAAAGCTTTTGTGTGACACCTCAGTTCCTCTGGGGTATAAAAGTCTGTATTCTCAAACAAAGTGAGTTATCCTAAAACTGTGGATGATGGTCAAAATGTGAATTAATAATTTCTCTGTTACGTATCTTCTCATTTGTTCGACCAATTGTGACAAAGGAGAGGCAGAGAGAAAGATCTGTCCACTGTCCCCACATGGCCACAACAGGCAGAGCTGAGCCTATACCAAGCCAGGGTCAGGAGAGTCTTCTGGGTCTCCCATGCAGGTGCAGGGTCTCAAGGCTTTGAACCCTCCTCTGCTATTTTCCCAGGCCACAAGCAGGGAGCTGGTTGGGAAGCGGGACCACCAGGACATGAACCAGAACCCATATGGGATCCCAGCACATGCAAGGAGAGGCCTTTAGCCACAAGGCATGACAGGGTGGAGGATTAGCCTGTTGCTGTGGCCCTTAACAGATTTATTTATTTATTTATTTATTTATATTGGAAAGGCAGATATACAGAGAGAAGAGACAGAAAGATCTTCCGTTTGATGGTTCACTCCTCAAGTGACCACAACGGCAGCTGGAGCTGAGCCGATCCAAAGCCAGGAGCCAGGAGCTTCTTCCGAGTCTCCTGCATGGGTGCAGGGTCCCAAAGCTTTGGGCTATGCTCCACTGCTTTCCCAGGCCACAAGCAGGGAGCTGGATGGGAAGTGGGGCTGCCGGGATAGAACCAGGGCCCATATGGGATCCTGGCACGTGCAAGGCGAGGACTTTAACCACTATGCCATTGCGCCAGGCTCATAACAGTTCTATTTTTTTTTTTTAAGATTTATTTTTTTTTTTCTTGGAAAGGCGGATATACAGAGAGACAGAGAGGAAGATCTTCCGTCCAATGATTCACTCCCCAAATGAGCGCAACGGCCGATACTATGCCTATCCGAAGCCAGGAGCCTCCTCTGGGTCTCCCACGCGGGTGCAGGGTTCCAAAGCTTTGGGCCGTCCTCGACTGCTTTCCCGGGCCACAGGCAGGGAGCTGGAAGGGAAGCGGGGCTGCCGGGATAGAACCGGCGCCCATATGGGATCCCGGGCATGCAAGGCGAGGATCTTAACCACTTGCGCCACCACACCGGGCCCAACAGTTCTATTTTTAAGAAGCCTTGTGAAAAGTACCAGTAAGAACAGTCCTGCCCCAGCCGGGTGTTCTGTGTGTATGCAGCTGTGCCACTTGCTGGCTATATGCCCTTGGGTCAGGGACCAATTATTTCCAAGTTGCAGGGTCATTACTTCTAACAGAGACTCATGACATTAACCTTGCAGGGTCACCGTGAAAACTAAATTAGCTAGTGTGTTCAGTGTTTGGCAAAATAAGGCACATTCAGGTGCTTTCTAAGTCTTTCCCAATGCCCTGCCCCTTTTCCATTTGGCATTTCTCTGAAATGTCTGAAATCTACTCGTCAACTCCATTATGATTTCAACAGTCTGTCATTCTCAGCTTTCACACGATCTCACGGCTCCATACCGAATACAGGAAACTCCCCGGACAGTCCGTGGGCCAGGCTTGACAATCCTGACCCAGATATTCACACCAAATGCCTGGGAGTCATATTCGTGACCGGGTGAGAGCGCCTGGAGCCCATGAAGAGTCAATGGCCTCTGCCTTATGCGCCCATCTTTTTACAGCTCTTTTTGTCTGCTTCGCCCTCCCTGTTAGGATTCTTGGAACCATCACCCGCGCAAGATACTCAGTAAATCCTTCTTAATATTGCACGTCACATCAGCACATGCTCTGGCTTAAAATCCACCCCTGCTCTCCCTGTTGTAGGCGATTTGACGCAAAAACATGGCAGCAACCTCGTTTCTTGTCTCACACGAAAGAAGAATTTTCATACAGACAATTCCACTTTGCAAAGCAGGATTCATTTAGAGGGGAAAAGGGACTCCTGCCACGGTGGTAGGAGGGGCTCCATGTGTCTGAGGAAAAACCTAAGACACATGCAGGAGGCCTGGATCCAGCGAAGGAAACAACACACACACACACACACACACACACACGGTAATGGTGGAGATGGTGTCTTTTCTGCACCATCTCAGGGGAGTTACTCAAAGGACAGATTTGTTCACACTAGCATCTGGTTTCAAATCAAACTCAGAAGGGTGGGACTGGTTAACTCCTCCTCCCAGTCTGATCACTCAGGCACCAGGCGAGGTGGGTCACTTCTCCTCGCTTCTGTTACAACTCTAAGATGACAAAATTGATATCTTCATTCTGCCCCCTTTGTCCTCCTTCAAGGAGAAAAGGTCCCCTTGGAAAGTAAAAATGGGGCAGAAATACGATTTTATTTATTTATTTATTTATTTTTAAGTAATTCCAGCAGGGACCAGAAACCCTGACTGCCAATCTCCTCTAACTCCTCACACATCCCCAGCCCAACTACAGCCTAGCCAAAAGCCTCCCACCACACACCCAAGCCCACCTGGACCTCGGACTTGCACCACAGCCAGCACCTCACCCCATCCCCTCATCCTACTCCAGCTCAACTCGCTCAGCTGGCGAGAGGTCCCCGCCGGGCTGCAGCCTTGGAACGGAGCTGAGCGTCCCCTGTCTGAACTCCCGGGAAAGGGGTGAACAGCGGTCCCTGGCCACAAACTTTTAATGAGGAAACTTTTTATGTGAGGGAAACGGAACATTATTATAGTGAAGAGGCCGCGAGTTTCAAGCTTAATCCCTGAGTGAATTAACTGAAGCAATCAGCCAGAAGTATTACAGCCTTAATCCTTCGGAACACGTCTAATTAAAATCATCCTCACACGGGACGAGGGGTATGTTTGGTTTTACTTTCTTAATGTGTGCCTGTTGTTTTAAAATCTTCAGAACCTTCCCTCCCAGCAAAACCCATGGCGGAGCACCCATTCTGAGTTCCAGCCATTCCGGGCCGGAATGACCGATGCCCCGCCAGCAAGTCCCGCCCCGAACTCCCGCCTTCCGCCTTCCGCCTCGCGAGACCCTGCCTACGTAGGGCGCCGCGCTAGGCCCCGCCCCCTCGGAACACGTGTGGCGCCGCTCCGCCAGTCGCACGCCGCGCCGCCGCCACCTCCTCCCGCGCTCGCGCCGCGCCGCCTCCCGGCTCGGGCCTCCGCTTCCCGCCCCGCCCCCGTCCTCCAGTCTGGCGTCTCCCAGCCCGACGCGCCCCGCTCTCATCACGTGATTGCCTCATCCGGGTCCTTTGCGTTCTCTCTCCCTCTCCCAACATGGCGGCCTCAGGTGAGTGAGCGGCCGAGCGCGGCCAAGGACCGGTGTCCGGGATCACCTCCCGGAGCCTGATCCACTGGTTCCATGGTGTCGGGGAGCGGGCCGCCCCGATTTCCTTCGGGCGAGGGAGTTGCGGCAGGCTGGCGGCGTCGCCACGTTGGGTTTCTCGCTCCGGGATGTTTGGGAGGGGGAGGGGAAGGACACCTTTTCTCCCCCGTGTCTGCGCGAGGTTGGAGGAGGCGGTCATGGTGGACTGCGGCTCGGAGGGGGCGTGAGGAGGCGCGGGGAGGTCGGCGGGCGGCGCGGGGCCTGTGTGGAGGCGTGAGGCACTGTGCTTGCGTGGAAGGAGGCAGGAGGCGGTTGGCGCGCGGACTGGTGCACCTGAGATCCCGCGTCTCGGACGAGGCACGAGGCCGTTGCGGACGGGCGTGGGGGAGGGCGGTTGGAACCCGGGCGCGAGTCGGTGTCGGGGTGCCGTGGGGGGCGGCCTGGGTGCGCGTGCGCGCCGGCGCTCCTGGGGGTGCTGAGCTCGGTGCTCGGTGCTCGGTGCTCGGTGCCCCGGCCCTTGCAGCTCCTCCGAGGGGACCTGTGTGTGGCAGGACTGCGGGTCGGGGTTGCTGGAGTGGGTTGGGGGTGGGGAACACAATGTGGCGCGCCCACGTGTTAGCAGAGAGGAAGCTGGGATGGGCTCGGAGGGTTCCCTGTAGCCTTTGCCATTCTCTTACCGGCCTCGATTGCTCCCCGAGCAGGCGTGCCGAACGAGGTCGGGTCTTCGCTCCTCTTAACTAAGCGTCCATTCTGGTTGAATGTTAATAGCTTCGGTGTTAGGGCTTCGGGCCCCCGCTCCTCCCCTGAAGGGTAACTGCGAGTACTAGGACGTGTTATTGAAAAGAACGCTCGCTAATGGCCGGAGTCGGTTTCCGTGTAGACTTGGCCTTCCCGCTGGACTCAGGAAAGCAGCCTTGAGCTTTGTAGCATTCAGTTTTGTTAAGAGGCTGTGTGGTTTTCTTCTCCCTGAAACAACCCTGCATTCTGCAAAACTTTTTGCTTAAACTACCGTCTCTGGGCACTCATTTCTCACTGGAATTTGTCTTCTCTGTTATTATGAGGGATTGAGCCGTGTCTCTTACCGTACCAGCTTTCGGTGGTGTGGCACCTGATCGCCAGGCGTGCACAATATGCTGCTTTCTCATCTGATTCCACGCAAGGTTATACAGAGATGGCAGTCGCTGCCATGGATGGGTTCAAGGTCACACTGCTGTCGGGTAGCAGGGCAACGTCAAGATCTTGAAAGACTTGAACTCTTCTTCACCAACTTGGGGTACCAACATGAGGTCCTGAGTTGGAGAAACTGCCCAGAGGCCTCGCCCAAGAGTTGACCGTGTTCCCATTGTTGTTTGGGGCTTCGATTTACCACCTTGCCTGCCCAGGTGACATGCCGAGGAGTTAAAGGTCTGTCAGATCTCTTCCCTGGAGTCTTAGGTCGGTTGTTGGAGCTAGAGCTTGCACTTGTCGGAACATCCTTCTTGTAGGGTCTGCTGGGCGCTTCTGTGAGATCCTCCCCAGCAGTGCGGGTTTGCAGCGTGCCCCGTGACTGACCGTCGAGTGAGGATTGTTTGAGTTGCTAGGGAACTTGACACGTTGAACCAGGGCACTCCGTTCTTTGTCATCTTTTAGAGGAATATTTCGAAAGGCAAGGTGCTCATTTCTCTCAAGTGTTCATTGTGACTGCTTTCATTGGACTTGTTAAAAAGCCCCATACCTCTTGTTCCAGTTGCCTGATCTCTTCCCTTACCTGGAGGGGATCAAGTGTGTTTGACACAGGTTACCCTGTAGGGTGGGTGTGGAAGCCCAAGCACGCGGGCCTTTCACTTTCAGAATACTCTGATGCTGAACCTCAGGCAGGGATCACACACTGGTGTCTGTTTTCCATCTGCTTGTGACTCTGGAGTAGGGTCCCCAGCTTCAGCAGGCAAGCCTGGAGCTCCCTGTCCAGGTTCAAAGGCAAAGGCAGTGTCAGTTACAGGCAGGTACTGAAAAAGCCAGGAGCCTGTGCGAGGGAGGCACATCAGAACCTTCTTGGGAAAGTTTTTTTTGTTGTTGTTTTGTTTTGTTTTGTTTCAATGCAGAGTTTGAAATCCTTGCACAGTGTCTGTGCATCTTCGATAAAACATTCTTTTCTGTGTTCACAAGGTATGAGTAGGGCAGAGAGGATGGGGCTTATTTACTTCTGGGTGTGCCTTTACTTGTTTGTTGTTAATTTGAAAGACTGGAGATCTCTCATGATCTCCCAACAACTGCTTAGCACGTTGCCCACACTGACCAGGGCTGGGCCAAGGGCAAGCCACAGGCCAACAGCTCAGTGGGTGACAGGGACCCAGTTGCTTGAGCCCGTCTTTCATCACCTGTTGCCTCTCAAGGTGTATTAGCAAGTGAAATCAAGTGTAACTTATTTGTGACTAGGGATGTGTGTGTGTTGAGGGGGTGCTGTCAGTCATCCCGGGAGCCCAGTGTGTTGGCCCAGTGGGTAAATCCTCACCGTGCAAATTGCTGGCATCCCACGTGGGTTCTGGTTCATGTCCAGGGTGCTCCACTTTCCTTCCAGTTCCCCTGCTTGTGGCCTGGGAAAGCAATCAAGGACAAGGACAGCCGAAAGCCTTGGGACCCTACAGCCATCTGGGAGATCTGGAAGAGGCTCCTGGCTCCTGGCTTTGGATTGTCTCAGCTCTGGCTGTTGTGGCCATTTGGGGAACAGAGAAGTGGATAGAAGACCTTTCTCTTCTCTATCTCTCCTCTTTATATATAAATCTGATCTGCCTTTCCAGTAGAAATAAATCTTCAAAATAATCATCCTAGATATGCCATAAATCCCTGCTGCCATCCAAAGGTAGGAAAATGACCAAATCAGAAGAGTTGCATTTTAAGCATTATTTTGGAAACTCCAAGTACCTTGTACCTTATGCAGTTCATTGGGCGCTTATTTTGTTGCTTTAGGTGAAGATCAAGTTCCCTGTCCCTGGAGGACTTGGGGGGGTGGGGAGCATGGTGGTATGTTCCTCCATGTGTTGAATTAATTGGGGACAAGGAGGTCATGTAACTGAACGTAGAGTCTGCGACAGTACGGTTTTTAGAAGTCTGCCGAGCTAAACTATGTAAGGGTACTTGAGAAAGTTCCTACTAAGGCGGGCTCTGGGCCTAGGCGTTAAGACGCCATTAATCCTTGCTCTACAATGGAGACTGAGGGCAGTCATCGCTCAGGTGAGAAATAAGTTTCTTTTACTACAATGAACGTGTATATACGGAGGGGTCTTCAGTTCACAGAAAACGCATCATGTAAAAGAAACAATGGATTCCAAAAATTCCAGTACCAGAATATCTGTGAATTCCATTTTTACAAACTTGTTGCAGTGCCCTGGTGTGGGACAGGAAAGGCACAGCCTTAACATGTGACACTTCCGTTGTGGCTAGGCACTGAGCAGCAGGGTAATTAGCCTAGGTCTGGGCCCTTGAGTGTTTGCGTTTATGTGTTTGTTAATGAATACTGTCCTGATTTGGCAAGGCCTGCTTTAGTGCCTAATAAAGATACCATTCATATCCCATCAAATGTACCCTTTTTAAAGTATACTCAAGTAATATGTGAACATTCTCATCATCACAATTGCGAATTATCAGTCCCTTCCCTCCCCAGTCCCCAGATCAGAGGTACCGACTAGTCCCACAAGGATGCAGAGGCAGGGCTAGAATTTGCATCAAAGTAAACTTTACTGCTTTGGTACTTCAAGGGCCTCTTTTTTTGAAATCAGGAACTAGCTGTCAGCCTGAAGTTTTTGTTTGTTTTTTGTTTTTGATGGTCAACAGCTAGTTTGTTAGTGGCATCAGGCTTTTCCAGACTGAGGGTCACATAGGATAAGGGAGGAGGGATTGAGGAGCTTAAATAGTTCCCATAAGCCTGTCTGTGGAATCCATCAATTGTTTCCACACGCTTGTTGGAAAGTATCTGCCTTTGTTTTGTTCTCATACAAATGATGTCCAATCAGTTGTCCTCCTGCAAATCCCCCTTCTCTGTTATGTAAATGAGGCCTGAGGAATGTAGCCAGAGAGAGCATGCCCTTGGAAGGCAGAGAATGGAGAAGAGCAACTTTTTATATTATACAAAGATAACTTCACCAGGGAGCAGAGACCATACCTGCCTATTATCCCATCTGACTCCTCATGTCCCCACGGAGATTGGACCCTGCTGTCAGGAATAGGGGCTGGCCACCACGCTGGCCCCTTTGTGAGAAGGGGCGGAGAAAAGGGCAACAGCCGCTGTGCTTCTCCAGGGGGTCAATCTAGAGGTCCCTGGCAGAAGGGCACGAGTCAGGTGTCCGAAGCACTGCTTGCAGGGTTGGGTTTTTTGTTTGTTTCCTTTAATCGGAAAGGCAGATAAACGGAGAAAGAACCTCATCCTCCACAAATGGCCTGAGCTGAACCTGTCCAAAGCCAGGAGCCCAGACTCCAGCAGGTCTCCCCGCAGATGCAGGGTCCCAAGGCTTTGGGTCGTCCTCCACTGCTTTCCCAGGCCACAAGCTGGATGGGAAGCGCGGTTGCCGGGATTAGAACTGGCACCCATGTGGGATCCCAGTGTGTTCAAGGCAAGGACTTTAGCCACTAGGCTACAGCATCAGGCCCGTCTTTAGAATTTAGATGTGCAAAATGTCATGTTCGGGCCCGGCGCGGTGGCGCAGTGGTTAAAGTCCTCACCTTGCACGCCCGGGAACCCATATGGGCGCCGGTTCTATCCCGGCGGCCCTGCTTCCCCTCCAGCTCCCTGCATGTGGCCCGGGAAAAGCAGTTGAGGATGGCCCAAAGCCTTGGGACCCTGCACCCACGTGGGAGACCCGGAGGAAGCTCTGGGCTCCTGGCTTCGGATCGGCATAGTATCAGCTGTTGCGCTCACTTGGGGAGTGAATCATCGGACAGAAGATCTTCCTCTCTGTCTCTCCTCCTCTCTGTATATGTCTGACTTTGCAATAAAAATAAATAAATCTTAAAAAAAAATGTAGGAAAACTGGGCCCAGTGCAGTAGCCAGCAGCTAAGTCCTTGCTCTGAACGAGCCAGGATCCCATGTGGGCAACAGGTTTTTTTTGTTTGTTTAAGATTTTTTATTTTTGCTGGAAGAGCAGATACAGGAGGAGAGACAGGGAGGAAGATCTTCCTTCTGTTGATTCACTCCCCAAGCGACCGCAATGGGTGGAGCTGAGCCAATCCGAAACCAGGAGCCAGGAGCTCTTCCTGGTCTCCCATGTGAGGAAGCAGGGCTGTCAGTATTAGAACCAGCACGTTCAAAGAAAGTACTTTAACTGCTATGCCCAATAAAAATAAATAAGTCTTATTTTTAAAAATTAGACCAGTTCAATCATTGTGGCAAGGAATTGTTGTGTTTGAAGCAATGAGCCATGCTGGAGGAGAATGCTGTGAAAATCCTGAGTTTCTTTGAGAGAGTCAACGAGAGATCTTCCATCTGCTGGTTCACTCCCCAAATGGCTCATAAGCAGATCAGCTGGGTCTCGAACCTGCACTCATAGGAATTGCTGCCATTGACCCAGTCCTGAACATGTAGACTGGCTCTTTTCTCAACTATTGGATTAAAAATGGAGTGGGGGAAACCCTGAGTCTGGCTTGAGGTTTACTGCTAATCTGCTTCCTGCAGTGAACTCTGCCACTGAATCTGAGTTAAAGGTGTTGTGAAGGAAGTCAGCCAGTGCTGGGGACCTGGGGGCTGGCGGAGGGGGCAAAGAGAGCAAAGGGGATGTATGGTTCTAAAATAACAGTATAGCCACTGTCACTGACTGGTGCCTTCTGCTACACCAACATCCCGTCGGAGCACAGGTTCCAATTCTGACTGCTCCCTGCTGATGCCCCTGGGAACAGGGCAGAAGGGAGGTCACCCAAGGGCTTGTGCTGCTGTGTCCGCGTGTAGGGGAACCTTTGGCTGCCACCTGCCACGAGGACCGTTTTGGGAGTGAGCCAGTGGCCGGAAGTAACTCTGAGTAACTATTATTTTCAAATAAATAAACGTTTTCAGGGAAAAACGATGCTGCAAAATTAATATTGTTTTGTGGGTTTTTAAATTGAAAATAACAGAAGAATGTGTGGCATTGAAAACTCAGAGGATTATGAAAGGAGATGCTGGTCTGTGGGTTTGATTTAATCTAAGAACAGAAGACCGGGTCGTTCCAGCTTCTGTGTTTTGGTTGATGAATGTTTATGGAACAAGGGAGAAAAGATACCTTTTATTCATTCCTACTGTTAATGTTGAACTTGATCTCACTATTTGTACTGGCCGTGAGATCATTTTCATTCTCCCAGTAACAAGATAATTGGATATTGGCTAATAATAGTAGAGTCAGCCCCTTGAGAGTTAGGCTCTATAGCTAGATTCATGTTAATTCCAGATACTGTTTTTGAATTAAACTATATGAAAAAAGGTCAAGGGAAGCTTAAGTGCTTTTAAGTATTTTACCTAATGCCTTGTCCATATTGGTATATTGAAATGTCCACTAGCTGCGTCTTTGCAGGTGAGCTGCCGGAGCCTCCATGTGATAGGAGCCATATTGCTTTCTCTGAATTCTGTAGACCGATTTCAGATAAGATCTGATTGATCACATATATTCTCAGAGACAGATTAAGGTGTTAAAATGAGGTGAGAATTAGAATGTGGAGAAAAAAATTCATGATCATGAAAGCCATGAAGCTGATCCTACTACAGCAGAGGTGCTTTTTAATTATGTAGTAGCTGCAGTTAGACCAGTTCTAGAATGTCACTTCCCTTTTTCTTTTCTGAGTTGCCCGGTTGGTGTTCTCTGGGAAGCTGCTAAGGACTGCCTAGGGGATGCGGGGTCAGCGCCCTGCAGGAAGCTTTTAGTGTCCTCTGCACGCGCACACTGCAGGAAAGTGCGTACAAGTCTCAGTGGGAGAGTCGTCATTCAGACACTGCAGCTAGCCGAGTGCCGAGATCACCGAGGTCTGCTGTGGAATTACTGATAAGCTGCTTAGGGGCCAGGATCCCAGGGAGGTAACCGGAAGAGCACTGGGCCTGGATGGAAATTTTGCTGTTTAATTCCAGCTTAGCTATCTAGTATCACTGTTAACTGTAGGATGGTGGCTTAACCTTGCTTCTGAGAAAGAAAGATTTGGGGGTTTTTTGGTTTTTTTTTGTTTTTTTTGTTTTTTTTTCCTGTGAATTGGAAGTTAAGATTCCTATCATAAATGAATGTTTTACAAGCATTACAGTTTTCACATGTACCAAACATAGTATCTTGCATGGGATAGGAAGTTTGTCTTTTCTCTCCATTGAAGGAGCAGTGAATGTAGTGGCCTGTTTCTAAATTAAGATCTCCAGTGATAAATAATAAATGTAGTAGAAAGTGAAAAGATTGCTTCCACCCAAGTTCACAGTCTGAGGCAGAGACTCCTCAACTTCTGATTTTTTTCTTTATACGTATACATGTGTGGTTGCATATGCTAGTGTTCTGTAACTTGTGACTTTTTCCTTTTACTGTTGAATTCTTTCTAAGCCTTTAGACTGTTTTGTGTTTATTGTGTTTATATAGTGTGCCCAAGTCGAGTCCTTTGGCCTTTGTTGCTCGAAGGGCCAGGATCTGCCCGGTGGTTAAGACATCAGCCGGAGTCCGGCTTCCTGGCAGTGCCAACTCCGGCAGGCAGCAGCAGAGGTGGCTCGAGTTACTGGGTCTCAAGCCACCAGACAGAAGTTCTGTCTTTCTTTATTTGTTAGTAGTTACATTCTGTTGTACCACTCTGTAAATGCCTGAGCATTCATGAAGAGTTTTTTCTCTTTTTCAAACAGCAAAAAAGAAGAATAAGAAGGGGAAGACTATCTCCCTAACAGACTTTCTGGCTGAGGATGGCGGGACTGGTGGAGGAACCACCTACATCCCCAAACCCGTCAGCTGGGCTGACGAAACAGATGACCTGGAAGGAGATGGTAATCTTTCTTATTTGTCATCAAGCTTAGAATTTTCATTATCTTCCAGGCCAAACTGTAAATGTAATTTGTATCGCTTACAATTCAAAAGGAACACACTGATTTTGTAAAGCCTGGAATCTTAATGTGTTTGATACAGACTTAATCTTGGGGTTTAACTGACTGCAGGTGAGACAGCACTGGCCGCTTAGGTGTGCCTCATCCGGGCTTGACGTGAACAGACTTCTCTGTGTCCTACCCTTTTAGGAAAGGGTAGACTGGGAAAGTAAAGACTGGGTTCTCTGCTTAATTCTGTAGAAGTGACTGCAAGGTCTCATGTACACTTGGGTGTGCTCAGCCAAAGAACAGCCCGGCAGCTATTAGTATGCCTTCTTCAGTGTCCCTGCATAGATGGAAATGGTTTGAGAAAAGGGGATGATGACGGTGGTGCGAAAACAGAATCTTTATTGGGGTGTGATTCAGACAACAGCAGGAAGGGTTAGCTGTTTTAATCACCAGGTATACATAGACCTCCCACCACCACCTAGAAACTTCCAGACTGCAACAGTATACCTCATGACCTCTTCACAAAGGTCAAACTTCCCATAAGTGTTGGTACAAACTAGTGGACACACTCTAGGGAGAGGTGTGTTTTAAAGAAGATGGTAAACCAGGAAGACTGCTTTGGGCAGCCTAACATTAGACTGTGAGAGTTCAGGGGGTGGGGATAGGAGGGGATGCAGGCTGCAATCATGGTGTGCTGCTCTGAGACTTGGGCAAAGAGCAGATGTGTGTTAAGTACCCACATGTGGTGACTTCACGTTGATTTCTTTGCTAGGTGAGGAGCTATGTGATGGTTTCACTGAGAGCCAGGCCTTGAAATGAGACATACAGTTGCTAGTGCTTTTCTCCCATTGCTGGTCTGTCGTGGCATCGTGTGTTTGCATTTGGCATCTAGCAGCGGTCCCCTTACTCTTGTCTGCTCTTCCAGTTTCCACTACATGGCACAGCAACGATGACGATGTGTACAGGGCGCCTCCAATTGACCGTTCTATCCTTCCCACCGCTCCACGGGCTGCTCGGGAACCCAATATCGACCGGAGCCGTCTTCCCAAGTCGCCACCCTACACTGCTTTCCTAGGGAACCTGCCCTATGATGTGACAGAAGACTCCATTAAGGAATTCTTCAGGGGATTAAATGTAAGTGTAGGACTTCCCAGCCAGTAACTAGATGCCGTGGATAGGGACTGATTGTAGCTCTTCATCGGAAGAACAACTAAAAAGGAGAAATACACTGAATTCATGGTGAGTTTGGTTGGTTGATTGCTTTTGAGTTTTGCTATCCTGATAAGGATGAAAATCTTGTTTTTGAAGATGCAGAAGGTGTGGTCGGGTGTATGCAGCGGGTGTATGCAGCGTTGTGTCTTTATCACTTCCGCCTCGAGGCATCTGTGTGCAGTGATGGAAACGTGGGAAACGTGCTTGCTTTCTTTTCTCCTTTAGATTAGTGCAGTGCGCTTACCTCGGGAACCCAGCAACCCAGAGAGGCTGAAAGGCTTTGGCTATGCCGAGTTCGAGGACCTGGATTCCCTGCTCAGTGCCCTGAGCCTCAATGAAGAGGTAAAGAATGTCCTGGGGGGGGGGGCAGTGGCGGGGAGGACTCCCTGTGTCATGATGGCCAGACACGTGGCGTTGGGTGGACTCTGTGAGAGTCGTATAATACCCACAGTGAAAGGCCTGAGTCACTTCAGCAATGGCAGGGAGGCGTGCGTGCGCAAGACGGGAAGAAAGCCACCACGCACTGGCTCCTGGGGGCTCACTTCATTCATTCACAACTTTGCCTTGACTATAAGTTTGCTTTTTCAAAATAATTATTCTGATGAAGGAAAATGGGGGTAAGAAATCCATTTGAGTGGCTTAGTATTCAAGGATATCACCTCACTTTCAGGGAAGTGTTGTGATGGTGTGCTTTGATAAAAAGCTTTAAAGGAAACTGACAGTCAACGTTTGTTCCTGCTCTGAGGTTTTCTCCTTGGATCTTACTAATGTTATGAAACTTTAACTTAGTCTAAATGAGAAAAAGAAGTCCACCCACCATCTGATGTTGGCTGGATTAACTTAAATGGTTGTTCTGTTAAACTTTCAGTGAACTGCTTAGTTAAACCTTTAGATGTGGTGTTTTCTTGTTATTGTTGAAGAATTATTTATTTTTCATTGGAAAGTCAGCTTTAGACTGAAGGAGAGACAGATCTTCCATCCACTGGTTCACTCCCCAAGTAGCTGCAACGGCTGAAGCTGAGCCATCCAAAGCCAGGAGCTTCTTCCGGGTCTCCCACGTGGGTGCAGGGTCCCAAGGCTTTGGGCCATCCTCGACTGCTTTCCCAGGCCACAAGCAGGGAGCTGGATGGGAAGCGGGGCTGCCAGAATTAGACCCTGCGGCCCTATGGGATCCCAGCACCTGCATGGTGAGGACTTTAACCATTAGGCTACTATGCTGGGCCCACTTTGGAGTGTTTTTAAGTAGAATACATTGTTACTGTTCTTCAACTAGATTGCATTGTGAAGTAAGTAAAAATCACTGATAAACTTAATTAGGGTCAAAGTATGTAAATAATGCTATGGGACAAGGGAAGTCAATGCATTCCTCGGGAACTGATTTATCCAGAGGTAGATGGGTCAAAGTTATAGAGTGCGTGCTGCTGGCTCAAAAACGTAAGATTTCAATGAATGGTTGTTATAGCCCCAAACATGTCTTTCATTTAGCTAATTTAGCTATGAAGTTACTGTATCTTTGACTCCTCCTCCTTCCCGTCCCCCAAAAATAGTGTGTAGTTGGTATTTATTTCAGGACTTTAGTGTACTCATCCTAAGTGACTCCACGTTGAAGCCTTTGTGAAGGGTTCTTCCTTCAGCTGACAGGTGGGAGTGTTAGCGAGGACGCAGTGTTCCTCTGACCTCCCCTCCCTAGTGCCTCTGCTGTGCCCGGGTGTGCATGCTCATTCGTGGGGTTCATGCATGCTGGCTTGATGTGGTCCTGTATTCTCAGTCTTTAGGTAACAGGAGAATCCGAGTGGATGTTGCCGACCAAGCACAGGATAAAGGTAAGGAAACCGAAATCTCATGTTTGGCAGTGGTCCTGGGATGACAAGGTAGGGGTCACCCTTTCCCAGAAATGCTTATGGTGCATCTGCTGGTTCACTCCCCAAATGGTTCCAGCAGCTGTGGCTGGGCCAGGCCAACGTCAGGAGCCAGGAACCATATCCAGGTCTCCCACGTGGGTGGCAGGGACCCAGGGACTTGGGCTGGGCTGTCTTCTGTTACCTCCCAGGCACATTAGCAGGAGATGGAGCAGAGAAGCCAGGACTCTGGCTACAGTATGGGATCCCAGTGGCATAGCCACTCCCACAAAGTGTTAAAGGATAGCGTGGGTCTACCTGAGGGTTTTTTGTTGTTTTTTGTTTGTTTGTTTATTTGTTTGTTTAGGATTTATTTATTATCGGGGAGGAGGAGAGACAGAGAGGAAGATCTTCTGTCCAGTGATTCACTCCCCAGGTAGCTGAGCCAATGCGAATCCAGGAACCTCTTCCGAGTCTTCCATGCGGGTGCAGGGTCCCAAGGCTTTGGGCTGTCCTTGACTTTCTTCCCAGGACACAAGCAGGGAGCTGGATGGGAAGCAGGGCCACCAGGATTAGAACCGGCGCCCATATGGGATCCCGGCACATGCAAGGCGAGAACTTTAACCACTATGCCGTTGTGCTGGTCCCAGGGTCTACCTGAATCTAAAGTAGCGGTTCTCAGCCAGTTTTGCCACACAGGGGACTTGTGGTAGACATGGAAGATGTTTTGAGTTGTCAAAATGTTAAGGGGATACTGCTGACAGGAGGAAGGAATCCAGATGGAAAGAATATACAACAAAAAAAACTTTCCAGTTCAAAAAGGAATGTCAAGATGGGCAAACCCTGAATGGAAGAAATGAACAGGAAGTAGTAGATGTATAGAATAGCTACCTCACAGTGTATTGGACACGAAGGGCTTCTCTATGTTTCAGGGACTTCTGGCCTGTACAGAATACAAGACAGGTGAGCATTGATTCAATCACAGTAGGCGTGAGAGGCATCTAGTTGAGTTGAGAATGTGCTTGTGGGCCTGGGCCAACTTCATTGTGGCAGCTTGATTTAAAAGAAATATGGTGTGGCAAGTGTGTAGCTGGGTGGTTAAGTTGCCCGTGTCCCATATTGAAGTATGGGATTCAGTTCCTGGCTCCAACTTCCTGCTGATACAGGCGCTGGGCATTTGGTCCTTTCCACCCACAGGGGAGGCACGGATTGAGTTGCTAGTTCCTGCCTACAGCCTGACCCAGCCCTTGGCTAGTGAGGACATTTGGAGGATAAACCAGTGGATGGGAGCTCTTGCTGTTTGTTTTTTAAATGAGGACTGCGGCGGGGGTGGGGGGTCATAATGGCCAGCTGGGGTGGGCTGACCGGGTTTTTGTGTTTGGATCCATCTGTAGACAGAGATGACCGTTCCTTTGGCCGAGATAGAAATCGGGATTCTGACAAAACAGACACGGACTGGAGGGCCCGTCCTGCCCAGGACAGCATGGACGACTACCCACCCCGAAGAGGCGACGACAGCTTTGGAGACAGTGAGTTTGTTTCGGTGCAGTGGGTTTCCTCTGTGTTCCAGGGTTGGTCTATCCAGGAGTGGGGCAGATGTGTACATTGGAAGATCACCTTGGCACAGAGTGGATGTAGGAAACTCAAAGGTGTGAACAGGAGTGGTCTTTGATAAGCTCAGGGGTTTTTTGTTTTGTTTTTAACTAAGCAAAGAAAGGGACAGTTGTCAGTTTTTTGTGTTTGTTGTTGTTGTTGTTGTCCTCTGATTTTGGAGACAGTTGTTTATAAAGAAACCCAGGAGAGTCTACTAAAGTAAACTGCCTTAATTTTGGTAGGATTGCTGGGTACATAACACAGAAACATCAATTGTATTGTTATACAAAGAACAAGACTTATTGTCATGTGGGCTCAGGAGAGACAAGTGACAAAAAGTGGGCCCAAAATCCTGTGTGCATCAGCCACACAGTGGGGAGTGCAGATGCGAATAAACACAATGCACTTAGCAGGGAACGTGACGGCAGGGGGATTACACGTTAGCTCTGCGCCTCAGTCTGAACAAAGGCTCCTGAAGCCTTTATGCTTAAAACTACCTGAAAAGCTCCGCTAGTTATTCAAAAAATGGAAAGAACTTGCTGTTCTTATGGAGCAAAGAAATTTTAAATCGTTGCTTGTCCATATAATAGACTACTTCATAGTGTAGCAGGCATAGAACTACAAGGGCAAAATCCAAAACCTGTTACCTGGAAGGAGGGAGGGACACAGACATTTGAAAATTGTGCCATCGTGTTGATCGTGGTACGAGTCATGAAATTATCAAGATAGATTTGGTAATCTGGCTCCTTCCTAATCGTGAAATAAACATGGCAAAATATTGGCACACACTAAACCTAAGCAGTAGATCTGCTGTAATTATTTCTTTCTATCAGTATTTTTGAAATATTATAAAACACCCGCACAACTAGAATACACATTCTGATTTTGTGAGGCACCTAGCACGCACTGCACACGCAGAGCCAGGGACACGGCAGTTCCTCTGGGCGGGGTCGGCTCAGGAGAAGGCTGGACTCTCGCGTTCCCTCCGACCTTCAGCCATCCAGTCTGAGCCAGCAGATCCTGGGGAGAGCTGCCTCAGCCACGCTCCCCCAGCGACGTCAGCGGATGCAGATTCTGCAGTGAACAGGAAGGAAAGGTAGACCGAGGTCCAGTTTTTGAGTCAACTTGCAGTTAGCATGAATTAGAAACCCTCAAGTATCGCCAGAGTCTGAGACTCCTTACCCTCCGCCTCGGACCCAACAGGATGACAGCGTGGGGTGGGGCAACTGTCGTCTCGATGTTACTACATGCTCAGCAGCCACCTGCCAGTGCGCTGCCTCTCACTGTCAACCTGTTTCCTTAGGAGTACAGGCTGTTGGCAGCTTGACTAGATATAAAGAAAGTCAAGTAGAGAAAATACTGCGAAGGAACACGTGTCTGATTTTTGTTTGCTACAAGTTCAGATTTGGGGTGCTTGGTTTTGTTTTGCACAATCTGGCCGGCCACCTGAACTGCCGCATTTGCTTTATACTTGCGTATAGGGGCCTGTTACACTATTACCGTGGGTGAGTATGTGTGAGAGGCAGAGATGCAGCAAATATGTCATAAACACATTGAGTAGACGTCTTTCTGAGTCAGTTTTTAGTCACTGCTCTTTGCAGAGGTCCTGTCATCATTAGATTAGCATGTGCTACGATTTTACTATTATAAATAGCATTGCAGTAAATGCCTCTGTCTTCTATCACATCATTGCCTCCAAATGAATTCCTAAAAACCAAAATGATTTTCAACCCTTGCATGCATGGTTCTAAAGCAGCTTTAGCATGTTTGTACTATTTTACGCTGTGATCAGCAGTGCACGAACTGACCTAAGCCCATACATTTTGCCAACATGAGATGCTGGCATGCATTTCATCTTTGCCACTGGAAAGTTGGAAATAAACCTTGCTCTGGGTTTCTCTGTCTGGAGTGACAATTACCGAGGCTGTAGTCCCATGCTGTGTTCATGTCTGCTTTTTGCCCTACTCCTTTCTCCCCCCCACCCCCCATTGGAAAGTCAGATATACAGAGAGGAGAAATAGAGAGGAAAATCTTCCATCCGATGATTCACTCCCCAAGTGAGTGCAGTGGCCGATGCTGTGCCGATCTGAAGCCAGGATCCAGGAACTTGTTCCAGGTCTCCCACATGGGTGCAGAGTCCCAAGGCTTTGGGCTGTGCTTGACTGCTTTCCCAGACCACAAGCAGGGCGCTGGATGGGAAATTGAGCTGCCGGGATTAGAACTGGTGGCCATATGGGATCCCGGCACGTTCAAGGCGAGGACTTTAGCCGCTAGGCCATGCCGCCGGGCCCAACCCCACTAACTCTTGCAGGGCAGTGGGCTTTGTTCCTCAGAAATTGACTGTGGAACAGGGAAGACTCTTTCCACATATATCTCCACCCAAGTTACTGTCCCAGCAAATCAAATACTGAGAATTCCATACAGCTCCAATTCTTCCACTTTGGAAAATAAGGTGATTTGTCTTTGTGAGAACTAAGATGCTAGCGTGTTTGCTTTCTCTGGATAAAGTTGGAGAGAAGGGAACAATGTGACCTGTCTCCTCTAGAGTATCGGGATCGTTACGATTCGGACCGGTACCGGGACGGATACCGGGATGGATACCGGGACGGCCCACGCCGGGACATGGATCGCTACGGCGGCCGGGATCGCTACGATGACCGAGGGAGCAGAGACTATGATCGAGGTAATGGCCGTAAACAGATTGCATGCTTTCAAGAATTCTTTTGTTTGTTTTGTTTTATTTTGTTTTGCCCTTTTTCTCCTCCAGTGTGATGGTTGCAATTTGGGGTATGTTTGCAGGCTATGATTCCAGGCTAGGCAGTGGCAGAAGAGCGTTTGGTAGTGGGTACCGCAGGGACGATGACTACAGGGGAGGCGGGGACCGCTACGAAGACCGCTATGACAGACGGGACGACCGGTCGTGGGGCTCCAGAGACGATTACTCCCGGGATGATTACAGGCGGGAGGACCGAGGTAAATCATGTTCTTGCTTTCTTCATGGAGCAGACGCTGGGATCAGTGGGACATTTGCAGCTGTGTTTCCAGCTCCTCGTTTGGGCCCAAGTTGAGCCCCACTCTGATGGAGGCAGCAGGGTGGGCAGCCTAGAGGTTAGCATGCTGTGCCGAGTCAGCCAGCACTCTGGGCTTTTGAGCTTGTTTATAAATCACACTTCAGATTAGTGATTTAGGGCCCTTTTTTTTTTTTTTTTTTTCAAAGAGAAAGAATGGATGTTCAGGTTAACGTAATCTTGAGGTTACAAAGCTACGTTGCTGATTGTCATGGCCATGACACCACAATGATCAGTATCATTAATTAAGGGTCAGATATCAGTGCACCTGTTCTAAAATTGGGCTTTAATACATCAACTTATAAAACATCAGTTGTGTTCCAGATCTGTTGCAGTTTGTGGATAAATGGTCATTTGTGTTCTGACTGAAGTGATGTCACCAAAAAGGTGATGGTGCCTTGGTGCTGCATTTTTTTTTCCCCTACCCCAATTATTCACTGTCTTGTCTTGGACCTTATGCTGAAGGCTCCATTCTTGTCTGGGGTTTTTTGCAGAGGAGGGAGGATAGGCCTGGACAGCCAGTAAGAAGTACAGAGAGGTGGCAGAGTTCTTGGGGCAAGTGGAAAGCCACACAAACCAGCAAAGTTCCTGTTTGTTTTTCTGTTTTACCTGTTTCTTCAAGCAGGAAGCCTAAAAAAAAACAAATAGTAACTCAACTTTGCATTGACTATGGCACCTGGGAGCTGCATGTCCAGGCACAGGTCATTTCCTTTTAAGACTGTGTCACAACTGCTGCTGCTTCCACTTTGCAAGGAGGAGAGCTGGGCTCGGCTATGAGCCCGAGGTGCACCTGATTGTGGTGCCTGACCTCTGATGCTTTAACCCTGGCTTTGTTCTCCTGACCCCTCACTGCAAGTCCCTGCCACTATCGTTGTGTTGTTGATGCTGTTTATTTTCATTTTGCTAGAGAGAGATCTTCCATCCTAATTCACACACCAGAGTCCCAGCACATGGGGGCTGGGCCAGGCTCAGCTCATAGTCCAGATTTCCCATGTGAGTGGCAGGGACCTAATGGCTGGAAGCTGAGCAGTGTCTTCACCGTAGCCCCCTACCACACCCACAAACTCCTCGGCAGATTTCGCTGCTTGCTCCATTCTTCACAGTGGACCCATGTCTTTGTGGACAAGATTTAATTCTCTTGCTGCCTTCCTTACAGGCATAGCTAGTGTCCTTGACCTGAAAGTTGCAGGGGCCTTCACTGTTTGCCTGCAGTTTGCTTCAGCATTACCTTACACTCTCCTCAGAAACGCTGTTAGGTGCACGCTCGGTGTGCAGGCTAACTCAGGTCTTCGCTCCTGTAAGCCTTCGCGGGCTCCCCAAGTAGCCCTGTATGTATCTCCTGTTCTTTCTACTTGGGACATTCCAATTCAATCAAACTCACTATCATCTGGCCTTTGTACAGTATCTAAAGTGTAGGAGCTTAATAAATGATTCATTGAGTGAATCAGTATTGGCTAAAGTCGTGATTGTGCTGCACTGTTGGGGGACAGTAGAGCCGCACTAATACATGACTCAGTCAGTCGCTGGCCACTGAGTAGCCGCTGTAAACCTCAAGGGAACTGGAACTGCCCCTTTGAGCCCCAGCGGAAGTAGGAGTGCACATGGGTTGCGGCGCGGTGGATTAAGCTGCCACTTGTGATGACTGCATCCATTTCAGAGTCTCCAGGGTCAGGTCATATGTTGGTGTCTACTCCAGCTTCCTATCAACGGGTACTGGGGCCTCTTAACACCCACCTGGGTACCTGTGGGGAGTTTCCCACTCCTGCCTGTTGTAGGCATTTTGAAGCATGACCCAGTAGGTAAAAGCTAGATCTATTCCTCTCATTCTACCTTTTTTATTTTTTTCCTACGTGGAGATAGTTATCACTTCACGAACTTAAACATGTTAGCATTGTGTCTCAGGATCTGTAAAAGCTGTCTGCTTAAATCCTCTGTAGGAAATGCTTGCTTTCAGCAATGTGCCGTGCATGTTGGGTAGGTGGGTGGTGAGGGTATAAAACCCCGAGTGGGCATGGGAGAGGACACGCAGCTGCGCACCCTGAAAGCTCCTTGACCACAGCCAGCTGACGTGGGCACGGGCCTGCTGCGTCCTCCATCGTTTACACGGATGAACAACATAGTTTCCAGGGAACACTCAGGTGTATGCTCAGAGCTTTCTAACCGTGTACACACACACACACACACACACACACACACACACACACACACACACACACACACACACACACACACACACACACACACACACACACACACACACACCCCACCACCACCCCATCCCCCCCCAGATTGTGTTGCTGTGTTCAGGGTTGGGTTCTCTGACCTGTGAGTCATCTATCGGGTACATGAATGACACAGACGCGCATGGAGGAACTAGTCTTCCATCCCATGGTGTTAAAAATTCTTTATTATACTAAAGGCACCCATCATCCAGGCCAGGTTTTTAAGGGGTTGTTTGTTTGTTTGTTTGTTTTTAAGAGAGGCAGAAGACAATTCTGTCCACTGGTTGGCCGAAGCCAAGAGCCCAGAATTCCATTCAGGTCTCCCACATGGGTGGCAACAACCCAAGTCCTTGATCCCTCATCTGCTGCCTTGAGGGTGCAGAGGGCTGGGGCTTGGAGCCGCCCTTGGATGTGGGGCACAAGTGGCAGTTTCACCTGCTAGACTGATGTCTGCCCTGTTTCAAGTGATTGCCCGAGTTTCATTTAACACAGGTCCCCCCCAGAGACCCAAACTGAATCTGAAGCCTCGGAGTACTCCAAAGGAAGACGATTCCTCTGCTGGCACCTCTCAGTCCAGTCGGGCAGCTTCTATCTTTGGAGGGGCAAAGCCTGTCGACACAGCTGCTAGAGAAAGAGAGGTAGAAGAACGGCTGCAGAAGGAGCAAGAGAAGCTGCAGCGTCAGCTGGATGAGCCCAAACTGGAACGACGGCCTCGGGAGAGGTAAAGTCTCCCATTCGGGAGTTCTTTCTGCACCAGCAGGGCGGTCTCATCGGAGGCACCAGGGAATTTTGCCTGGTCATGGTTGGGAGCGTTCAGTGGGCTGAGGTTAGGGGTGGTAAGTCTGAAGTGGGACAGTTTAACCCAGTGAATTGTGAAGACCTGGCATCTAGCCAAAATTGCTATGACCAGAGGAGCCCGAGTCCCATCATGTCAGTTACAGAGCTGTTACCCTGGGGTTAATGGGAGTTATGTTTACTTGTCACATTTATGAGAGAAAATGTAAAGTGCAGGCTAGGCTTTTTACCTGTGTGTGTACTGATTATGATAATTGTTACTGCTGTCATTGTAAAAATATTTTATTAGCAATTGTTGTGTGGGTTAGCCATTAAAAGATAGCATTATGTCTAACAGAATAGAGACTTAAAAAAGAATTTCCTGGGGCTGAGCATTCTGCATAGTAGGAAAAATGCCACTGTGGATACCCATACCCAGTGGGAGAATGCCCGACTTCAAGCCCCAGCTGCACGCCCGCTCCCAGCTTCCTGCTGATGCACATCTGGTAGTCAGCAGGTGTGAGCAGTGGGGTTTCTGCTACCACTTGGAAAACCCAGATTGAGTTCCTAGCTTTTATAAGGCATTATTATCATTATTGTTATTATTATTTCAAAGGGAGATCTGTCCCCACTCAGACAAGTCTTCGGCTTGGATGGAGGGACCCAACCACTTGAGCCACCGCTTGCTCCCAGGATACACGTAGGCAGATGGAAGGAGTGGAGCCAGAATTCACACCCAGGCATTTTCTAGAATGTAGGCATCCCATGTAAGATCTGAAGCATTACACCAAACACTAGCCCCTCTAAGACAATATTATTAACATTAATAGCTGGTTCTTGCAGTAGTTTAAGTTCAAGTTGTGTCGTTATGACTACTGCGTCCCAGTTTGATGGAGAGAGAGCTGCAGCTGCATGTGCACAAAGGGACGCATGGGTGAAACAAATGTATCTGATGATGAGCGGTGGGCCTGAGGTGACCTGGGTAATGTGCATTGTTTGTTTGCTTCTGTGTAGACACCCGAGCTGGCGAAGTGAAGAAACTCAGGAACGAGAACGGTCGAGGACAGGAAGTGAGTCATCACAAACTGGGCCTTCAGCCACCTCTGGCAGAAGTAAGTCAGACGAGGATGGGAAGCCACAACTTCGCAGGGTTGGATTGTCAGGTGCTCTCTGTTTGGATTAGCATGGACTGACAGGAGTTTCAAATCTGTCCCAGCATAGAGGTAAATGATGTGTTTGACAGAAGAGTGTACCTTCCTTGACAGTAAGTGTCCCTCCACCTTAGGGCTTCACATCACTGAGTTTTATTTATTTCAAGCAGTTATGGGCCAGGAGTTCTCTGTTCCCAGGGTCAGCTGTGGGAACAGCTGTGTTGTGTGGCTGGTGGAGTTACCAAGTGACCATGTCAGGCCTTCATTCTTCCCCACTGACGTCTGATTCTTGACACGCACCTGGAGTGCTTTGGAGACCTGAATGCTTCCTGCTTCTCCCCTTACCAAGATGCACTGTCTCTTCTCCTGTCTCTAAATTGGTTGGAACTTTTCTAAACAGTGCAAGGCTGAAGCAGTTTGGAAATTCCTCCAGGTCTTTAGGAATTTGCTGAAAGTCAGGAGTACTGGAGTTGTATCTTCCTAACAGTAGATAGTACCATTCTTTGGGAGAAGGTGAAAAAATGATCCTGTTGAGTTGGCTCTGTCTGTAGGCCTTGGCCTTAAAATGTGGAAAGAATGTGATGAGACAGGCTCCAGGTTTGAGTGCGTGCTCTCACTGGTGTGAGGATGCGGCTGCTGGTCACCTTGGCGCGTGTGTGTGTGTGGAGGCTGAGGGGAGCCAGGCAGTGGACTAGCATGGTTGGGATTTGCCAGAGGCCCCATTTAGCCACAGGCACACCTCCTGTGAGGACAGCCTCCCTGTGATGTGAGAAGCTGGAATCCTGATGGGGTGTGCATCTTTAGCAAGGGGTGGTGGGAGCTCTCCTTTCAGGTGTGTGCCCTGACATTTTTCCTGTTTTCTCTGTCATTGGGGTGCTTGGTCAAAGTGATGTTTTGAGATTCCTACTAAAGGGATGGTTGCATCTGTTGGTGTCTGTATCATGGTGATGGAAACTGGGAACTTGAATGTGGACCATTTTCAACATCCAGTTGAAATCTTGATAAGTTCTTGTACTATATGTAAGGTGTGTCACCCCCAGCCACAGCCCAAGAAGTTGACCCTCCCCTCTGACTTCACAGATGCACGGAGGAGAGAGAGTGAGAAGTCTGTAGAGAATGAAACACTCAGTAAGGAGGAGGATTGTCACTCTCCAACTTCTAAGCCTCCCAAAGCCGATCAGCCCCTAAAGGTAATGCCAGCCCCTCCGCCAAAGGAGAACGCTTGGGTGAAGCGGAGTTCTAACCCTCCTGCTCGATCTCCAAGCACAGACCCAGAGCAGCAGTCCCCTACCAGGTGAGTTGGCCTGTAGTCAAGAAGTTTTGAGAGATGGGGCCTTGGGATGGAAAGTGCCTTGGGAGGGATTGGCCTGGCATCAGGTCCCCTAAGTTCACCTCTTTGTTCCAGTTCACTTGCATGGAGCTGGCTCTTATTTTCTGATGTATAGGAAGCTGTTGGTATCATTTTGATGACTTGGAATTATCTGTGATGGGCATGTGCGGGCACTATAAATTAGGCCTTCCCCACCTCCACCACATGCGGGTAGTACGCACTTGGAGTCCATTTCCCTGTCAGTCTCTGGCCTCCAGGTCCTTCTGTCATCTGCTGACAAGTCTATAGTTTAATATCCTCTAACGTTAAATGTAGTCTGAGTTTTGGGAAAAGTGTACTGCATTTTGGAAATGCTTGAATTTCTTAGGTGTTCTCATTCTGAAATCATTTACATGATTGCATGTTTGCCTTTCAGTGGTGGGGGGAAAGTGGCCGCAGCTCAGCCATCGGAGGAGGGACCAGCAAGGAAAGGTAAGCCCATGCAGTGTGACAGCCTGGCAGAAGGCTGGGCCTGGGGTGTCTGGGCGCTGCTTTGTCGGTCTGTTGTCTCTCGCCAGCAGAGGGCAGGCCTGGGCCCTTTGCAGATGGCTTGCAGCTCCGCCCTTTCCTGGTAGAACATTTCTATGAAAGGAGGGGGAGTCATCGGAAGGAAGTGAGCATGTTCAGTCCAGATTAGAAATGTCACCATTAGCAGGCCAAGGCCACTGTCAGACGTCAGCATCCTTCGTTCCAGCTTGCTGTTCATGGTGGTGGAACTTTGGAGTAGCTCTTGCTTGGGAGTGTGAATGATGCAGAGAGCATGGGACTTCTTCCCAAAGATGGAGAGAAGGGGAAACAGTGGGATCCCTCCCCTTGATATTTATGAGCAGTTTTCCTGAGGGAGGGTGGTTCTGGGGCCAGCCCTTGATTTGTTGGGTGTCTGCTCAAACAGATGAAAACAAAGTAGATGGGATGAGTGCACCCAAAGGCCAAGGTGGGAACTCGAGCCGCGGTCCAGGAGATGGCGGGAACAGAGAGCACTGGAAGGAGTCAGACAGGTGAGCGGGTTCCCTCCCCCTGGGTGAGAACACATCTTGGGGAGTAAGGCACTCTGGTGGTTAGAGCAGGCACCGGGCAAGACACCTGTGTCCTGGATACGGGTATCTGGGTTCAAATCCCAGCTCAGGAACTCAGATTTCCATCATCCTTGTGGGAGCTCTGGCCTCCTGGTTTTGGCTCAGTTCCCCTGAGCTGTGGTGGGCATTTTGGAAGCAAACCAGCAGATGGGACAGCTGTCTCCCTGTCACCCTCTGTGACTCTGAAACAAAATAATAGTTCAAGGAAGGAAAAATCAACTCTTCAGACATCACAGTTCTAAGAGAGCAAGGACTGTTGGGTGCCTCAGCCCTCATGCGCATTGAAGAGGTCTGCTCCTGGAGATGTGGTCTTATGCTTTTCCACAGGAAAGATGGCAAAAAGGAACAAGATGCCAGATCTGCACCTGAGCCAAAGAAACCTGAAGAAAGTCCAGCCTCTGTAAGTGTGGCCTTGGCCCCCAGCCTCTCTGAGCTTTTGCCCTTAGACTCCTGTACACGTGGGCTAGAGTGATCGCAAACAAGGCGGTACCATGCAGTAGAGGCAAGCGCTCTCCTGTTCCTGTCCCCACTCCTCCCTTCGGATAGGGTCATGTGTGCCTCTGACTGGCCCTCTTGTCCTGGCTACTCGCCAGCAGGTGTGGTCTGCACGCCTGTCCATGGCCTGGGAAAGCAGCTGTGGCCTGCCTGTGTCCCAGGTTTTGATGTGACAATCCAGGGTCTACATCACCTTGTCATTCGTCCATTACAGAAATTCAGTTCTGCCAGCAAGTATGCCGCTCTCTCTGTGGATGGGGAAGACGACAACGAGGGGGAAGACACCGAATAGCCCGCGACGCCTGGGCGCTCTCCTACTCTCTCCACCCTGGAACACTCGAGAGCAAATCAAACCTCTATCCAGACAAGACAAAATAAAACTCACCATCTCCTGGAGACCTTTCTTAACTTTTTTTTTTTTTTTTTTAATGAAATGAAATTCTTTTGCATGCTGCTGCAGCCTTTAAAGTATTTGAAGCCACCGGAGGATCACCATTGTGGCCAGAGAGAGCCCACACTGTTTAGCAGAAGAATTGGGGTGTGTTTTTACAGTACCAAGCGGTTGGCTGCCTGTGTGGCTGGTGCCCAGGGCCTCCCTGGAGCAGCAATGGCCATGGCAGATGGAGTGGCAGGCAGGGAGGTTCAGGGAAGTGAGTGTGGGAGATTGCTACCTATTCATTCTTAGCGTGGCATATATGAATTTGTAGACGTTACCTGAATAGATTTTTCATCTGGGAAAGATAAATTTAGTCTCAAGCTGTTGGAGTTTCCAGGAGGCTGCCAGCCCCTCTTCTTCCTTTACTTCAGAGTTACTGGGGTCAGCCTAGGAGGATTCTCTTTATTTTTACCCCCCAGGGGGGTAGTTGAGAGTCTACAGGCCACTAGAGAATAGAACTGCTTGAGGACCAAAATACATTGGAGAATTGTGGTTCTAAGGAAGCTTTTAGGGTAGGGGAGGGGGCATTGTGCAGCAGGTGTTGGGTTATGTCACGCCAGGGGGAGGAGGGAACCTGGTGCACCTGCAGTAAGCGATGGTGGCGTCCTGGAGAGGGAATCATTTGGGGGGGTCCCCTTTTCCTCAAACACTGTGCTCTCTGAAAGCTGAACTAGAACCGCATTCTGCTGCAACCTGAAAGCTTTAACATTTCAGACTCTTCACATTCTTCCTGCTCCTCTCACCGCCCAGAAAGCAGTCCCTGCTTTAAGTCCTGTAGCTGATCCTCAGGCGCTGTGCTAGCTCAGCCACTGCTGGGGCTGGGAAACGAGAATCAGTGCTTCCCTCGAGCAAATCTTGAAGTCATTTGGACTCTCACTTCCTCCCCTACCTATGCCTGCTCCTGCTGACTCCTACAAATGAGAATGTTTCAGAATTTGGTGATGTTGGGAGGAGAACAGGCCAGATCCCACGGACTGGGGCAGGTATAGTGGGAGCCTTTCTCACCACTTTTTTTTTTTTTTAAACCAGTTTTCTCTCCACTGAAATTCCACACACATGCTTGGGTTTATAATGTGACCTAGATCAGTATGTGGGGTTTTTGGTTTGGGGTTGCATTTATTTTTTTTTTCCCCTAAAAGAATGAATAATGGAGAGAATTATTTAACCAGGTGTTGGCTTCTCTGGCCACACAGCCTGTCTGCCTCAGTGTCGGGGTCAGCTCGGTCGATGGTACCCTTCCCATCAGGCCTGGGTGCCACAGGCCTGGCCTGGCCCAGCAGGGGTGCTCACTGCAGCGGTGAGCCATGATCATTTGCTCAATGGACTAAGGACAAACCAAGTGAATTACCTTCAGATGATTGGTGTGGATGGGCGAGGAGCTGGAAAGCGGGCTTTTCCGAGAGCTACCCAAGGTTGGAAGGGTCTTGCTTGTAGGTAATGGGAAGGTCAATGCCCTCTTCATTTCTACTTCGAAAAATAGTTGGATCCTAAAAAGCTGGGTTTTTTCCCCACTCCCTTACCTTGCCCTCCTGTTAAAATAGAAACAGGGATTGATTTATGTCCCGTTCCTGAATACATGTAAAATTTGTACAAAAATATCTTCTATGAAAATGATTTGTAATCTGTAGACTTAACACCTGGGAGATGTTGTGAGATGTAAAATCCCATCCTCGGGGTTGTGGGTTTTTTTTGTTTGTTTGTTTTCTCCAAATAAATCTGATCTTTAAAGTTGATTTTCATGCTGAGATTGATTTGACAACATTTTTCTACTGGATCCCTCTGATCAGGCCTGTTTCCTACAAGTGGAAGGGATCACAGTGCCTGGGAGTTGGAGGCGGTGCTTCCTGACCTCTAAGGGCAGAGCTGAGCCAGCAGTCTCCCCAGTGCAACCTTGGATCCCCTGGGGATTTTCCAAACAGCCAGGCACACAGTGCTCATTGTTGCAAGGCAGGAAGGGGGTCAGGACAGTGGCTGGTGAGCCCTAAGGTCACGAGGCAGAACACGGGAGCAGGAAGCCTCCTGCCGCACTGTTGGGAGCCCAGACCCAAGGGGAGATAAGGGAGCACGTACCAAGGGCAGCTGCTATCACACCTTCCACACGCACATTGAACTCTGCTTCAGATACCCAGAAGTCCCCACCAAAATGGGAGAAGGCTTTTAGGAGGGGGAGAGCTTCCTAGGCTCCCTGTACCTCCTCCGCAGGAGACCCCTTCTCAGTCCCACACCTGGAGTGCTGAGGCTTGGCAAATGATGGCAAGGAGCAAGAGGTAGGTGGAGAGACCTGTTGAAACTTAATGACGGTTGTGGATGGAAGGACAGGCAGTCTGACATCCTCAGACACAGGTACCCTCACTGAAGAACAGGCCCCAGGGCTGGTCAGCCCTCTGCCAGCCTCCACTGGTGCAGCACAGCAGTCAGGAAGGCTGCAGGTGCCCTCGTGAGGGTCGGCTCGGGCTGCTCAGCCAGGATGTGGCATACCCCACATGGCCTGGATCCACGGACAGTGAGGGCTGAGGGCGCCACTCCCAGCATCTGGTTTCTCGGGAAGTGGAAGCTGCACATCTGCTCCTGGGAAGCACTTTTTGTCCAATAGGCTTCGTTTCTCAGCAACCACTGTAGTCCCCAGGGCCACAAGAGGGGGACTTGCCTTCCCTCCGCCTCCCCTAAACGTCTGGATGAGACCACTGCTTGTCTCCCAGCCATAGCAGCCTCTGTCCTTGGCTATGAGGTCCGCTTCGCATCGCGTTTCCCTTTTTCCACCCCACTCTTCCTGGCCCCCAGCACCCCAGCCCTCCAGTGGACTTCTAGCAGGGCCAGCCCCACCCCCTCAACAGGTCTGAGTGTACTGAGTTACCAACATGGCATCGCCCCAAACTATGGAAGAGGGGGTTCCTCCAGTGGCAAGGTGGGCCGCCCTCTGCATTGTCAAGGTAAGGAAACCTGCATGGAAGAAGGTCTGGCCTTTGTCACCCTCAGCCTGGCTTCTCCCTGCTCCTCTTCCCTGTCTTCTGAAGCTCCCACTGCTGCGGTCTGCAAGATGCCTGCCTGGCTCCAGCAACACCCCACCCTTTTGCAGACTCCTTGCCCCCCCCCCCCCCCATGAGCCTCCGCTAACTCCTGGGGCTCTCAGAAGTTCCTCTGAGTGGCCAGAACAATGCAGCCCCACCAGCCCCTCTGAGATGAGAACCACCTTGCGGGCATCCCAGGCTCCCAGACTTGCTAGCTGCTGGCTCAAAGAAATGAGTCCGTTTTCCCACCTCACGTTCCTTGCTCCAGAGGACACCGGCTGACCTTGGGCCCTGTCTTTGCAGGCCTTAGCGGCCTCAGGCCTCAGAGCTTTCCCCGACTCTAGCCTTTCCTCTCCTGTCCACCCAGCCCCCACTGCAGCCGCCCGCGATACCCAGCACTACTCTCACCCACTCACTGCCTGGAGCGTCCCCCTCCCTGCCACATGCAGCTCTCCTGCTTCTCCGGGGACCCACGCGGTCCCCAGGCGCAGCTCCTTGGGCTCTTCCCGCTGCCAGGGTAGAATCGAGCAGCCCCGCCCCCTCATAATCAGAACCAGGCTCCCGGAGCCTTTGCCAAGAACCAGGAGGAGCATAGAAGGCAAGGCCCCAGCCCAGGAGACGGGCCAGGGGCGCCTCAGAGTCAGGAGTGGGCAGGCGCTGGGCCTGAAGCCCTGGGCACTGAGTTCTCAGAATCTGAGTCCCACCCCACCCACCCAGTTTTCATCATGGAAATTGGGGGAGGGGAGGGGTAGAGGCCCTAGGGTGTTGGCTGAAGAAAGGCGGAAGTGTCAGGAAGCGCTCACTACTGGGGGAAGTGCAGGCAGGGCGAGCTAAGCCTCCCCTGGGGCCAATAGCTGCCTTCCACAGGCAGCCCCTAGCCAGTGCCAGTCATAGCCAAGCCACATTGCCAAAGACCTTCTTGGGACCCGCGACGCCCTTACAAGTCCACTGGGGAGTGGAGGGGTGGCGGGAGTGGCTGACCGGCCGAGTCCGCAGCAGCGTTTTAAAGGATGGCAGGGGCCGTGGAGGGCCTGACGCGGAGACCTTTTAAGGGACTGCTGGGCGACACAGGCCAAGACGCCTGCGCCGCCAAGGGCAGGGGACACTGGTCACCCCAGGTGTCCCCTGTCCAGGGATACGGTCCGATGTCACACACTCCACGCCTGCAGAGGGGCAGGCAGGCCCTGTTAGACCCACGTGCACCTCTTCTTTTGGCTCCGAGTCTTAATCACCACCTTCATCTGGGGTCCCCCTGTCCCCGCGAATTCGCCGCGTCCGTCTTTCTCCCCATCTCTCTCATCTCTTTCCTCCCCAACTCGGCCTCCGCGCTGCGTCTCCGCGTCCCAGCTCTTTGTGAGTGTGGGTTTCGCGGGGAGAAGGTGGGGAGGAGAAGAGGGAGCAAAGGAGGAGGACGAGGGGCGGGGAGCGGACGGGACGTGGGGATTGGAGCCGGGGCAGGAGAGAGGGAGGGAAGAGAGCGCGGCCGCGGGCGCGGGGCGCGGCGGGGGCGGGAGGGAGCCCAGCCGAGCGCGCGGCGCGCCCGCTCCCGCCGCTGCTGCCTCGGCGTCCCGCTCGGCGCGGGCCCGGCCCGAGGCCCCGGGATGGGCTGGCTCGGGGGCTCCCCCTGCTGCTGCCCCGCCCCGCCGCGCCCCCGCGCCGCCGGGCGCCCCCCGCAGGTGAGTGGCCACGCCGCGCGCGGGGCGGGCGGCGGCCTCTGCGTCACAGCCCGCGCGGGCAGTGCCGAGGGCGGACGCCAGGGGGCGCGGGGGGCCGAGGGGGTATGGGGCGCGCGGCGGGCGCCCCGGGGCTGAGACGGGGAGGGGAGCAGGGACGGGTGCGTGGACCGGGACTCGCGGAGGGCGCGGGGCCGCGGCGAGCTGGGGACGGTGGCTTGGGGCCCGTGAAGGTGACCAGGGGGCGGGGCAGGCCGCGGTCCCCTCATCGCCGAGGGCCGCCACGCCTTCCCGCGCTCTGGCGCACACGCGGCCCGCACCCCGTGGCGCGCGTCCGGCGCACGAGGCGCCGCAGCGGCTCCGGCACGCGCAGGCCCGAGCACTGGGCTGGAACGGGCAGCCGCGGCGGCGGTGCTCAGCTCGGCCCGGCTGAGTGTGTGCGGGTGTCCCCATTTCCCGCTTGGCATCTGGAGGCCAGCAGGCGGGCCCAGGGACGGCCCATTCGGCTTCGCAGCCCGTGCGCGCCTGCCCTCAAGCTCCCGGATCCCCTCCAGGCACCTCCTGGCTAAACTGCCTTCCCTTGCTCTCCTTGACTGGGCCTCCCGTCGGCTCCCGGGCGGGCAGGCGGGCAGGCTCCCGGCCTCCCATCCAACCGCAGCTATTTCCAGGAAGGGGGGTGGTGGGTGGAGGGGTTTCTCCAAACAAACCCTGGGCTTAGGCGGGAAAGGGGGCCCCGGCTGGGGAGCAAGCATCGGAAAGGCTCTGGTCTGTTCTGGGTAGGAGGTGGGTGAGGGTCCCCACAGGGCCAGGTGATGCCCCCTGGCAGTCAGCTAGGCAGCTGTGTTGCTGGAAGGCGCGCGCAGAGCTGCGGAATTCCCCCCCCGGTAACAATCACCGCCTGGCCTGCGCCAGCAGCGTGTGAGACCACTGAGGGTCAGCAGTTAGTTGAGGCCCTGCTCCACGTGGGGCACAGGGGAGGGGGTTGGCAGGGCTGTGTGCCACTCAACACCTCCCCCACTCCACCACAAGGCACCTTCTCCCCCTAACAGGTTGGGTGCTGGACCAGGCCCAGCTGCCTATGCGGGCCAGAGGCCTGGAATGTGCTATGACAGGGGGAGAAGTGGAGGGTGTGCCGCACAACCAGTTACAGGCTGCGAGGGGCAGGGGGAGGGTTCCCGGCCTCTGGCCATAGAGGCCACTTTCTGGCCAGGTACCCCTGGGATGGGAGTGGAAGGTTCTGATTGTTCTGGCCCGGAGACTTGAAGTTCCCAAGCAGAGCCCACAGGCCTGGAAGGTCCCCAGGGTCTCCTTCCCAGAGAATGCAGGCTGCCATTCGGATGGACATGAGGGGAGACTGAGGCAAGGGGACCCTGTGGGAGACCCCAGGGCTGGGACAATTGCTTGGGGCAGGGCACACAGTCGGCCCTACTGGAATCACAGCTTCAGACCCATCTAAGGGGCTGCAGGCCCCTAGGCCAGGAACCTCTCTTATATTGGGATAGTCACTCCTTCCTTCCCACGCACCCCCCCATCCGCCTCCCTCTTCCCCTGACGCCTGGGGCAGGAAGTTGGCCTTGTTCCCAGGAGGGAGGCAAGAGCTGGGTGGAGCACGTTGGGAGGGAGACCTTGTGTCCAGTGCTCAGGCCCTGGGGCAGCAGCTAAGGAAGGAGAGCAGCGTCATACTGTGTGCGCTGGGGATGGGGAGGGGTCCTGGGCTGGCCAGGGAGATGAGGTTGAGCCGGAAGCAAAGCCAGGAGATTGTGTGTGTGTGTGTGTGTGTGTAGGGGTGTGTAGGGGTGTGTGGCAGTCAGTAACAGGGGGCTGGAGGCGTTGACTTAAGGGCCTGGATTGTGGCAGCAGAACAGCTGAGACTCAGGTGGGCTTGGCCCTGCCAGGTGTCAGGGCCAGGTAGTCTCGGTTTCTTCCTTTAGGACCAGTACAACTGAGGCAGGCAGCTGGTTCCCAGTCCTGTGCTCCCTGACCCTGGCCAGTAGGGTGACCGTTCCCATCACCACCTCCCCTCCTCCCTCCCCACCGGAAGTTCCAGGAGAACTTGAGAGTCCAGGCTGGGAGGCTGGCCGGGACACACTGTTCCCCGCTGGCCCTTGAGCCTGGCCCCGGTGGCGGTGGCCGACCTAAGTTCCCAGCCCACCCCTAGCAGGAGGCCCATCTCAGGCCAGCGATCCCCAGCTCTATAACTGGATCCCTGGGCACAGTGGCTTCCCAGGCCCAAGCAGCAACTCCAGATCCTTCAGAGGAGGAGGAATACAGGGTCCCGGGCTGCCACTCCCAGCAGGACAGATCCTGGGAATCTGATCTCCTGGCCTCCCCCACATCCCCCCCCCCCCCCCCCACTTCCTGGAGCAGCGACCTGCCCCCTTCCCGCCTGCACTTCCAGGGCAGGGCTTCTTTCTCCTCACACCCGCCAGACAGCCTACCCTCCGCCCAGGGGAAACTGCGGGCGGTCTCAGCCAGGCTGCTTCCAGGAAGCCCCGGGCCAGGCCCCAGCATTGTTCGGACCCTTCAGCCCGGCCAGCGCCCCCAGCTAGCGGGACACCATGAAGTCCAGCGGCCCGGTGGAGAGGCTTCTCAGAGCCCTGGGGAGGAGGGACAGCAGCCGGGCCACCAGCAGGGTAGGAAGACCCCCCACACACATACCCCTGCCACCCTGGGCCCTGGAGGTTGGGCTAAGGAGGCTCCCTGGTAGGGTATGGGTGGGCAAAGAGGCTAACTCTCATCAAGGTGATTTCGCGCTTTCTCAGCCTTCTTCCCCTTGTCCCGCATGCGAGCCCTCATCAGGGAACTCCTTGCAGAGTGCAGGGAACCGATGTCGGGGCTTGAGTTAGAGTGGATCCTGCTTGTCTGTTCTGGCTGCTCTAGCCCTGGCCAGCCCTACCCACCACCTCCCCGCAAAACCTGAGCTCCAGGCATAACTCCCCCGTAAGGCTTTGCTCGGAGTCCCCAGGGAGCAGGGCAGTGGGGAGCAGCTGCTGCCGGGTGGCAGAACCCAAGGGTGTTAGGGAGGGAAGTGCTTTCGAATGTGGACAGCATCACAGTCTTTGCCGCTGATGCCAACATGTACCTACGGCTCTTATGTGAGTCCAGCAAAATGGCACCAAACTCACACAAGTTCCGGAGCCAAAGGTGCTGCCACCTCAGGCCCTGTCACCCCCTTCTCCTTTCCCCCCAATTGTCTTTAGCCTCACCCCAAAAGTAGCAGCTCAGGACAAAAGAGATGATAACCCTGGTGGCAGGGTAGGGGTTTGGGGAAGAGGCAGCAGGGGCTTGAGACTCCAGAGTAGCAGAACAGGTACAAGGGAGGGGAGGCCACGGGACCCAGATGTTCCCAGACCCAAGGGTGGGAGGGGCAAGCCCTTTGTGGTGGGGACTGTGAGGGGCCAGGGCCACAAGGGGCCTCCAGGCTCCCCCTGCACCGCTGGTGGGGAAGAGCCCAGCAGGGCCTCTGCCCCTCCACGCCCATACACTTGAACTTGCCGGTGACGCAGCAGCTGGATGTCTTTCCCCAGGGTCATGCCTCTTCGCAGCACTGCCCCCTTACACAATTGCCGTCTGCCGCCTCAGTGCACAATGAGTAAACATGTTGTTCTGGCCATCGGGGAGGAGGAGGCATGTCAGCTGCCCAGAGCGTGGGGACAGCGCGAGCTAGGGGAGGGCCGCTCCTGCCAGCGGCTCCGTATGGGTGTCAGGTGCCGCGTGACTGGCCTGCCCCCAGCAGGGGCAGGGCAAGGTGGAAGGAGAATCAAGGACAGCCCACCCCCAGAGGAAAGGTCCTGGTGTTTGGGGTGACAGTGGCCTCCAGGGCGTCACATACAAGGGTTACGTGGGGAAGGGGGTGCTCAGCGGCCCCATGCGGGAGGAGCTGACCCAGGGAAGGTGGTGATGCAAGGGGTCAGATTCCACGCACTGTGGAAGCCAGGCCCCCACTGCCAGCCCTGAGAGGTCTGTGGTCAGATTCCATCTCCCACCTGGGCAGCTGGATCTGGGCAGAGGAAGGACTGAGTCCGGAGCAGCGCCCGTCCTAATAGGCCTTGGCCCAGTTCCAGGGAAATGAACCCACCGCGTCCTCACACATCTGTCTGTCCACCCTTCCACCCCCAGCCCAGGAAAGCTGAGCCACACAGCTTCCGGGAGAAGGTATTCCGGAAGAAAGTTCCGGTGTGTGCAGTGTGCAAGGTGACCGTGGATGGGACAGGCGTCTCATGCAGAGGTGAGCCACGGTGCCCCGGACTCTGGCCCAGAGTGTATCCCACAAGGCCTAGGTGCAGCGCCCCTTCAGAAGACACACCCAGCCCAGGAGACCTGGGACCCAGCCACCACCTTCCCAACGCAGCCTGCTTGCCTCTCCCTTGTCCTGCCCACCCCTGGATCCCCTCACCAGCCCTGCCCTAGGGCAATGATATACCCCCGTGTCACACTCTTCCCTGGAACTCTCAGGCCAGGTTCCTGGGAGCCACAGAGTCCGGGGGAGGGGCCTGGAGGAAGGCCACCCCCCTCACTGTGCCCTGACAGGATGCTGCTACCTCTCTCCCCACCCCTCTAGTGTGCAGAGTGGCAGTGCACAGAAAATGTGAAGCGAAGGTGGGTGCTGGGGTCTACCTGAATGGGGCATGGGGGCAGGAAGGGAGCCGTTCCAGCTGTTCTCCCATCCTCCTGGGTGGGAGGGGTGCTGTCCTGGGCCCTTTAAGAAGCACCCTACTCCCCCCGCCACCCCTCCTCAAGTCCTGGCCCAGGCGGGTGGACAGCGAGCCCGCGTTTGTCTTGGTGCTGTGCCCAGGCTGCAGCTGGCGAGAGGATGGGGGTAGGGAAGAAGAGAATTGAAGAGGAGGAGAAGGAAGACTGGGGCTGGGGAAAGGTGGCTAGAGGGGGGTGGCAAGGTTTGAGAGATTTGGGCAGGGGTCTCAATACCCACCCCTGAGTGGGTCTCATTGTGGGTCTCGGAAACATGTGACTTCTGGGTGTGAGTTTTGGAGGGTCCCCACTGTCCACTGGGGGCCCCAAGGCAGCTCCTCAGGGCTTTCGTGGTCCTCCTCCTCACGTGTGGTGCTGGGGGTGGCTGTGCTTGGGGAGGGGGTCCTCCCAAGCTAGCCTTGGAGCTGGTCGGTCGGTCAGGGAAGCTGTGCACCCGGGGTGTGGTCCCCCGTTGAAAGAGGCCAGTGTCCACCCCAGGCCACAGCCTGCCTGCATGGCTCTATATAGAACTCCTGCCCTGCCCACTGGATGAATGGGGGTCTGTGTGGGCGAGGGGCTGGGAGCCAAGAGCAACAAGTGGGGGGCCCAGGGTGGGGGGTGAGCAAGCAGAGGGAAGGTGCTCTTAAATAGAGGCACCTCGGCTGGGGCTGGCACCCATCGCTAACAGCCCCTCCGCCTTCCTACCGAAGCCCACTGCCGGGGAGCCCATCTTTCCAGAACCCCAGTCTGTTTTTGTTTTTATTTTAATTACTCCCATCTCCTCCCAGGTGACCACGTCCTGCCAGGCCGTGCCTCCCCCGGAGTTGGTGAGTGCTCTAGGAGGGGAAGACAGGAGCCCCAGCTGTGGGTGACCAGAGGGCTCCTGGACCCCAGGGCGTTAACCTTCAACCCTGGGCTGTGGGAAAAATGTCTGAGACGCCTTCTTCTGTTCTGTCCTCCTGGGCCTGTTGGGATTCCCCTGGCTGGAAACCACTGTCCCCAGCTTCAGACTGGTCCCAACTCCTGCCCTAACCACTCCCTCTCCTTTCCTCCTTCTCCCCATCCCCCTCCCAAACCTCCCTCTAGCGGCGAAACACGGCCCCCGCGCGGCGCATCGAGCACCTGGTAAGGTGATGCTGGTAGGTGGGGGGGACGAGGAGCCCAGGGAGCAAGGACGACGCTTTCCAAGGGGGAGCGGTGTCCAGATGCAGCATCTGGTCTCCCCAGGGATCCACCAAGTCGCTGAACCACTCAAAGCAGCGCAACACTCTGCCCCGGTAAGTGGGGGCACCCAGAGCAGCGCCCGCCCCGGCCGGGATTCCGCCTCTGCACCCAGCACCCCTGGACACCCCTCGCGCCCCTCCATGCGCCCTGTCCGCTCCCCCAGGAGCTTCAGCCTGGACCCTCTCATGGAGCGGCGCTGGGACCTGGACCTCACCTACGTGACCGAGCGCATTTTGGCGGCCGCCTTCCCCGCGCGGCCCGACGAGCAGCGACACCGGGGCCACCTGCGCGAGCTGGCCCACGTGCTGCAATCCAAGCACCGGGACAAATACCTGGTGAGGGGCGGGGCCTGCCGGGGCCAGCCAATGAGAGGGCCGGGAGGCCCCAGGGGCAGGGCACTCCCTGACGTCATCTCGTGGAGGTGAGGCTGCCGGGTGGGCGGGGCCAGAGTGTCAGGGGCGGGGCCTGGAGTGGGGGCCCCTGGCCCCACAGGTGTTCGCACCTCCTTCTTTCATGTATTTATTTTAAGGGTTTTATTTATTTGTTGGAAAAGCAGAGAGGGAGGGAGGGAGGGACAGATTTTCGGAGACAGGAACAGTATTTTCTGGTCTCCCACCTGGGTAGCAGGGACTCAGGTAGTGAAGCTGTCGTGGTCATTGTCACAGCATGCCAATGCTGCAGGCCGTGGCTTAACGTACTGCATTGGCCCTGGCAACCTCCTTATTGCAGAGGAAGACTCCGGAGGAGGGTCCGCCAGCAGCACATTTCTGTGCCTGGCTGTCGGAGGCACTTCCGGTCTAAAGTGCTCCCCGCCCCCCATTTCAGCTCTTCAACCTGTCAGAAAAGAGGCATGATTTGACACGCCTGAACCCCAAGGTAGGACAGAAGTGGCCTGCCCCCCTTCCCAATCCCTGCCCCCAGGCACAGTAGCAGCCAGAAGCACTTTCCCACATGACCTATGACTTGTGACACCCCAAAAGACGGGGCAGCACCCATCAGCCCAGGCTAGAGCTGACCCCCCAGTGCTGAGGCTGCTGGCCCTGTGCAGCGGGAGGCTCTGGCCCTGTCCCTTCTGCACTCAGTCCTATCCATGCACCTCCACCGCTCCCCTCCAGGTCCAGGACTTCGGCTGGCCTGAGCTGCATGCCCCGCCCCTGGACAAGCTCTGCTCCATCTGCAAAGCCATGGAGACGTGGCTCAGTGCCGACCCCCAGCACGTGGTCGTGCTTTACTGCAAGGTGGGCGGGCGGCCCCCTTTCCCTCCCCACTCCGGGAAGGGCTCACCCTCAGCCTGGAGCCCCAGCAGGAGCCTCCATCACTGCCTCCCTGTCCCTTTCTCTCTCTCAGGGGAACAAGGGCAAGCTTGGGGTCATCGTCTCTGCCTACCTGCACTACAGCAAGATTTCCGCGGGGTGAGGCTCCCCGACCACACAGGGACCCCCCACCACCCTTCCTCCACCTGGCCCCTTCTGAATTCCTCTCCCCATCCCGGGGCCCAGCTCCCTCCAGAGAGCCCTTAGCATTCCCACGTGCTCTCCTCTGCATGGGACCGCAGCCCCCAGCCCAGAACCTGTGGCAGTCTCTCAGGGCAATCACCAGCCAGCTGGTGGAGACAACAGAGATAGATTGGCTCCTGGCCACAAAAGCTGGACGTCCCACCCAGGGTGTCCCCAGGGCTGTGTCCCCTGCCAGGACTCCTTCCTGCCTCTCACTGATGTCCAGCAGGAGCTGCAGGCCCTGGAAGCCCTTGCTTGGCCAGTGCCTGCTCTGCCTCTACCACAAGCCTTTCTCCCCTCCCTGTGTGTCTATCTCTGTGTCTCTTCTTCTCTTTCTATAAGGACTCCCAAGATCTCATCTTTAACTAATTACGTCTGCAATGATCCCATTTCCAAATAAAGTCACATTCTGAGGTACATAACTTGGAGAGGGATGGGAGTGGACACAGTACAACCCATAGTGCAGCCTCATTGGCCCATTTTACAGATAAGGAAAGTAAGGCACAGGGAACAGTTGCTCAAGGCCCGAGAGAATGTTGTCTGGCGCTTCTGATTCTCTTGATCACCACTCTGGGCTGCCTCTAGACTTGGGGTGAAGGGAGGGGATCCCAGCTCTCCTCCAGCCCCTGGGGCTCAGAGAGAAGAACTGGCACTCAGGATGGGGGGGATGGAGCGCCATCCCTAATGCCCCATGCTGGCCCTGCTCTCCCCAGAGCGGACCAAGCGCTGGCGACCCTGACCATGCGAAAATTCTGTGAAGACAAGGTGGCCACAGAACTACAGCCCTCTCAGCGCCGGTGAGCAGCCTGGGGGCAGGGGGGTGCGCAGAACAGGGCAGTTCCTTTAAGGATGTCTCATGGGTCCCGAGGAGGTGCTGTACCAGCAGCAGCTCCCACACTAGAGGGCAGGTGAGGAAAGGAAGTTGGGGCTTATGGCCTAGAGAGAGGCTGGTGGGACTCCCAGGGCCTTGCTTCCGTGGGAAGAGCTTTAACAGCCTAAACGAAGAGCAGGTGTACAACCTTTACGCCAGAAGCAAAAAGGCGCCCCCCGGGGTGGATGTCAGGCAGAACCTTCTGGAGAGCTGGAAGGGAGGAGGACACATTGGGTAGGGCGTGGTGGTGGTGGTGGGTGGGGGTGTCAGAGTAGAAATGACAGCAAGGGCATCTCAAGGAGGGGCTGACGGTGTGTCCGCTCCCGTCGCCCCGGCCAGCTACATCGGCTACTTCAGCGGGCTGCTGTCCGGCTCCATCCGCATGAACAGCAGCCCCCTCTTCCTGCACTACGTGCTGGTGCCCATGCTGCCGGCCTTCGAACCAGGCACAGGTGAGTCCACCTGAGGGACACCCCCATCCCCCCCTCCTCCCAGCACCCTTCACACACCTTCTCCTGTGTCTCCCTTCCACACACCTCCCTACCAGGCTTCCAGCCCTTCCTCAAAATCTACCAATCCATGCAGCTTGTCTACACATCTGGAGTCTAGTGAGTCCTCTGCTCCCACACCCCGGCCCCCTCTTCCCTGGTCAGCCCATCCCCACCCCTGCTCCTCCATGCATCCCTGCTTTTCTCCAGCCTCCCCTGGGTTCCCAGCTCCAGGCCCCACAACTGAAAAGGCAGTAACCCACCCACAGGAGTCCATTTCACAGATGGGAAAGCCAAGGCCTGCCTTGGCCCACCCTGAGGCAGGCAGGCAGAGGGTGGTGGTGGTGGTCAGGCGCAAACTCTGAGCTCCCGGCTGGCTGCCCCCTGCCTCGGAGCCAGCTCTGCCTTTCCTCCCCTGGCTGCAGCCGCATTGCAGGCCCTGGGCCCCCGCAGATCTGCATCAGCCTGGAACCAGCTCTCCTCCTCAAAGGCGATGTCATGGTGAGGGGTGCTGGGCTTGGAGGAGCAGAGGAGGGGAGGAGGAGGGGACGGCCAGAGCAGCTGCATAGATTGGAAGGTGAAAGGGAAGCCCCCAGATGGGAGGCCACTGCTGTGAGATTGAGGAAGGGGGCCCAGGCAGGCCTGACTTCCAGCCTGCCCCTACCCCACCAGGTAACCTGCTACCACAAGGGTGGCCGGGGGACCGACCGCACCCTGGTCTTCCGTGTCCAGTTCCACACGTGTACTATCCACAGCCCCCGACTCACCTTCCCCAAGGAGCAGCTGGACGAGGCCTGGGCTGGTGAGTCCAGGGCTGGGAGACTTGGGGGCTAAGGTGGGTTACCAAGAGAGGGCAGGCAGGTGGCCAGGCCTGGTGGTACGGGCCCAGGACCTGGCCCTTCACCCATGCTCTCTACCCTCCTACCCATCCACCTCCCAGACGAGAGGTTCCCCTTCCAAGCCTCGGTGGAGTTTGTCTTCTCCTCCAGCCCTGAGAAGATGAAAGGTAAGAATGCAAGGGGAAGTGCCAGGACAATGAGACAGCCTGGCCAGCCCCGGAAGTCCTGTACACCAAAGTGGCTTCTCTCCCCACAGGCAGCACCCCCCGGAATGACCCCTCCGTTTCTGTCGACTACAACACAGCAGAGCCGGCAGTGCGCTGGGACTCCTATGAAAACTTCAACCAGCACCACGAGGACAGCCTGGATGGTGGGTGTGGCCTGGCTGGGGGGCGGGAGGCATGTTGCCCACACTTTCCCTCCCCCAAAAAGACACTCCTGGGCCCCTCTCAGCTGGAGTCTCTTGCTCCCTCATTAACTCTCCCTGTCTCTCCCTCTTTTCTGCTCACCGCTACTGCCCCTGCTTCAGGCTCCCTGGCCCATACCCGTGGTCCCTTGGACGGCAGTCCTTACGCCCAGGTGCAGCGAGCCCCCCGCCAGACCCCACCCGCACCCTCGCCAGAGCCCCCAGCACCCCCACTGCTCTCGGTCAGCAGCGACTCGGGTCACTCCTCCACACTGACCACGGAGCCAGTAGCCGAGTCCCCCGGCCGGCCCCCACCGACAGCTGCAGAGCGACAAGAGCTGGATCGCCTCCTGGGGGGCTGTGGGGTGACCAGTGGGGGCCGGGGGGCTGGGCGGGAGACGGCCATCCTGGATGATGAGGAGCAGCCCCCCGTGGGCGGAGGGGCCCACCTGGGATTGTACCCTGGCCCTAGGCCCGGCCTCAGCCGTCACTGCTCCTGTCGCCAAGGCTACCGGGAGACCTGCGGGGTCCCCAACAGTGGCGGCTACTACAGGCCCGAGGGAACCCTGGAGAGGCGACGGCTGCCCTACGGAGGCTATGAGGGGCCGGCCCAGGGCTATGCCGAAGCCGCGGCTGCCGCTGCGGTGGAGAAGAGGCGCCTGTGCCGCTCTCTCTCTGAGGGTCCGTACCCCTACCCCACCACCGCTGAGCTGGGGAAGCCAGCCAGCGGTGGGGACTTCAGCTATCGCGCCCCAGGCTACCGGGAGGTGGTCATCCTGGAGGACCCGGGGCTGCCCACCCTCTGTGCCTGCCCTGCCTGTGAGGAGAAGCTGGCGCTGCCTACGGCGGCCCTGTACGGGCTGCGGCTGGAAAGGGAGGCTGGCGAGGGATGGGCAAGCGAGCCTGGCAAGCCCCTGCTGCACCCTGTGCGGCCTGGGCACCCGCTGCCTCTGCTAGTGCCAGCTTGTGGGCACCACCACACCCCAATGCCCGACTATGGCTGCCTGAAGCCACCCAAGGCAGGAGAAGACGGGCATGAAGGCTGCTCCTATGCCATGTGCCCCGAAGGCCGCTATGGCCATCCAGGGTACCCCACCCTCATGACCTATGGCTATGGAGGAGGTGTGGTGCCCAGCTACTGCCCAGCCTACGGCCGGGTGCCTCATCATAGCTGTGGGTCTCCAGGCGAGGCCAGAGGGTATCCCAGCCCTGGTGCCCACTCCCCAAGGGCTGGCTCCATTTCGCCAGGCAGCCCGCCCTACTCACAATCCAGGAAGCTGAGCTATGAGATTCCTGCAGAGGAGGCAGGGGACAAGTACCCACTGCCTGGGCACCTGGCCTCAGTGGGACCCTTGGCATCTGCAGGTGAGGATCACCAGAGTGGGCAGTGCCCAGGGTGGAGGACAGTGGGGAAGGCCAGGCGGCACAGGATAAGGACAAACAAAGGTGGGCTAAAAGCCCTTCCTGCTCACGGGCCTCCCGCTTCCTACTTCATTGCAGAGTCGCCTGAGCCCGTGGCTTGGAGGGAGGGCCCCAGCGGGCACAGCACACTGCCTCCGTCTCCTCGCGATGCACAGTGCAGTGCGTCCCCAGAGCCATCTGGGTCCTCCACACCACTGCACACGAGCAGCCCCGTGCAGGGCAAGGAGAGGTATGCAGCTGGGGCCCCCTTGGGGCCTCCTGATCCAGGCAGGTGCTAGGAGCCTGCTGCACTCACCATCTGCCTTCTCCCCACAGCACCCGGCGGCAGGGCTCCAGGTCCCCCACTCTGGCACCTGCGCAGAGACTGAGTCCTACTGAGCCTCCTGTTGTCCAGGGAGGCACAGACAAGGTTCCTGAGCCACCAGCAAGGAGTGGGCCTCCTGAGCCTCCAGCCTCGAGCCCCTTCACCCCGACCTCCACTCCCAGCTCGCCCAGCGACTGGCCTCAGGAAAGGAGTCCCGGCAACCGCCCAGCCAGTGCCAGTCCTCGGGGCCCTGTGCCCACCACACTGCCCGGCCTGCGCCACGCAACCTGGCAGAGCCCTCGAGGCCCCCCGGACAGCCCAGATGGTTCCCCCCTCACGCCTGTGCCTACCCAGATGCCCTGGCTTGTGGCCAGCCCTGAGCCACCCCAGAGCTCACCCACACCTGCCTTCCCCCTGGCTACATCCTATGACACATCCAATGGCCCTGCCCAGCCCCCGCTGCCTGAGAAACGCCACCTGTCAGGGCATGGACACCAGCCAGGGCCCTGGGGCCTAGAGCAGGCGTCACCACCACCAGCCAAAGGCACCAGCCACCATGTCACTTTTGCACCTCTACTCCCAGATAATGCCCCACAACCTTCAGGTAATCTTTGAGAGTGGGGTGGGAAGGTCACTTTCAGAGCTTTCCTCCAAGAGAAGCAAGCCCTGGGATTAAATCCAAGCCCTCCCTGATCCAGAGCCGTCCATGCCAGAGAGCCAGAGCAATGTCAAGTTCGTCCAGGACACATCCAAGTTCTGGTACAAGCCGCACCTGTCCCGTGACCAAGGTGAGACATGAGCCTGGCTTGCCCAGGCTTCTCTCTGGTTGGAGCCCTGGGCTCCTACCCCTCCTGGCTCCACAGTCAGCTCTCCTGGGTTTTAGGCCCAAGGAGGTTAGATTCAACACTGTACAACCCCATTGCCGGGGAATACTGAGGTCCCACCCCAAGACTCCTGGCAGTGGCTACCTGACCTGGGGCCCAGCCAACCTCCATGCAAACTCTGCTCCCCCTCTTACCTGCAGCCATCGCCCTGCTGAAGGACAAGGACCCTGGGGCCTTCCTGATCAGGGACAGTCATTCCTTCCAGGGAGCTTACGGGCTGGCCCTCAAGGTGGCTACACCCCCACCCAGTGCTCAGCCCTGGAAAGGTACAGCAGCACCGAGCTAAGGGAGGGGACCGTACCAGAGGCGGAACCATGGCTATTGGTGGGGGAACCTGAATGCTAAAAGCCTTGCTTCCCTCTCGCCTGCCCTGCTCCTCTCAGGGGACCCTCTGGAGCAACTGGTCCGCCATTTCCTCATTGAGACTGGGCCCAAAGGGGTGAAGATCAAGGGCTCTCCCACAGAGCCCTACTTTGGTGAGATGCAGGTGTCTGGGGCTGTCTTGGGGGAGTCAGGGGGAAAGCTGAAGCCCATGTGGGCACATCAGGATTGTTCTCACCTTGTTGCCCACAGGCAGCCTGTCCGCCTTGGTCTCCCAGCACTCCATCTCCCCCATCTCCCTACCCTGCTGCCTGCTCATCCCCAATAAAGGTGAGTGTCTGTACGCTGCCTGCTCGCCATCCCACCCTACCGTCACAGTGCAAGCCTCCCCTGGGGTGCCCAAGCCGCCCAGTCCTGAACTCCTAGGACAATGCCTCTGCCTCCTGACTGGCTCCATCGACCCTCATTTCCCTCAGATCCCTTGGGAGAGATGCCAGAGGCCCCGGTGCCCACCAACATGAGCACAGCAGCGGATCTTCTGCGACAGGGTGCAGGTAGGGACTCCCCACCCTGCTTCCTCTCGTTGGCCACCTTGGGGGCTGCTGGAGATTCAGGGTCCAGAAGACTCTGCAAAGTGTAGGCTGTGGCAGGTGCACTGCATCCTTGACGATGACAGGAGCAGTGCAGGGGGTCTGGGTCAAGGTTCTCCTGTCACAGGAACACAAGAATCACAGGGGACTGGTGCCTTGTCCAAATGCTGCACCTCACGCCTCTTTTCATGATCACTGCCCCTGTGGATCCACTGGGATCCAAGCCCCATAAGTGATCGCAATGCATTCCGACAGCACTGGCTAGAGAATATGTGAGAGTGGGCTGACCCAGGGACCCCCTCCCTGACCTGGCTTCTGCCCTGGCAGCCTGCAGTGTGCTCTACCTGACCTCAGTGGAGACGGAGTCCCTCACAGGCCCGCAGGCCGTGGCCCGGGCCAGCTCTGCAGCTCTGAACTGCAGCCCACGCCCGACACCAGCCGTGGTTCACTTCAAGGTTTCGGCCCAGGGCATCACATTGACAGACAACCAAAGAAAGTACGTCTGCATCCCGTGCCCCTGTGGAACCCCCCCGAGGTGTGAGGCCTCCATGGCCAGCGGTGACCACCACCCCTCCTCCTTACAGGCTCTTCTTTCGCCGCCATTATCCAGTGAGCAGCATCACCTTCTCTAGCACCGACCCACAGGACCGCAGGTGACCTTCACCCCAAGCTCCTCCTCCTCCACTGCCTGGGGTAGGTGGGAGGGGGAGGCTAACCTTCATGGCTCCTCTCCTTTGCAGATGGACCAACCCGGACGGGACCACCTCCAAGTAAGCCTTCCCCGGGAGCCCGATTCCTTTGTCTCCGAGACTGGCGCTGCAGTGAGCCCACCCACAGCAGGATGACTGCTGATGTCCCTCCCATTCTGGTTGTGTTCCCTGCCTCTAGGATCTTTGGTTTCGTGGCCAAGAAACCGGGAAGCCCCTGGGAGAATGTGTGTCACGTCTTCGCAGAGCTTGACCCAGATCAGCCTGCGGGCGCCATTGTCACCTTCATCACCAAAGTTCTGCTGGGCCAGAGGAAATGAAGGAAGGCCACGCGCTCCCAGCCCACGTCAACACCGCACCCTCCCGACAACCCACAGCTCTCACCTCCCCCTGGCCTGTCCCCAGGAGGCCTGGGCACAGCGCCCTCCCTCAGGAGTGGGGAGTGGGCGTTGGCCTGGGACGATGATCTCCTTCCCACCCCAGCCTGCTAAGCTAAGTGGATGGGCCCATGAGATGACCTTGCATGTGAGCAGATGGCAGAGATGGGCATGTGATGGGTGAGGAGGCATCGGCAGCTGTGCCCCGCCTGTGGGAAAACATCAGCCCTGGAGGGCAGTTGGGCCCTGCCAGCTCCACCCAGCTGCAGGTCCCAGCGTGGCAGGGAGAGGGTGAGGTATGGGGGCAAGTCATTCCCCACTCTGCCCCCTCTGAGCAGAGACCACAGTGGGATCACAGAAACGGGGAAAAAGAGAGTCTATTTTTGTCTAATAATAAAGAGTTTCTATATACTTTGGAGCTGCAGTCATGCTTCATTCACAGCAAGGCCAAAGCCTGGGCTCTCCCATAGCCAGACCCACCAACACCCTCCTCCAGGGTCTCCAGCTTCCCTGCAGGCAAGCTAACCTCACTCCCTCTGCCCCCGGCCGTCCAGCAACCCCGCCCCCTGGCCACCGGAGGCAGAAATACGGAAACTCCATCTTTACTCGCTGTGTAAACATCTCTGGTCTGTACATACATTTCATACATCATAGTGCAGGGCCTGAGGTCGGGCCGGGGGGCAGCACGGCAGCTCGCCTGCCTCCTCCAGCCCAACCTGCTCTGTGCAAACCAAGGTCCCTGGCTCCCCGGGCCCTCCCCCAGGGACCATGGGTGCATGAGGAGCTGGGGCAGCGGGGACACACGAAAGTGCTAGACTCAAACACTGGAGCAGAACAGGCAACTAGCACAAGCAAAAAGCGAGCGTGGGGGCAGGGAGAAGGAAGGGACTGAGATCTGCCCCTCTGGGCTCACCCAGCTGAGGCTCTAGGTCACCCCTAGAGCTGCCCTCCAGGAAGCTAGGGACCAGGGTGCTATGGACGAGGAAAGGCTGAGGTGGAGAGAGGGTGCCGGCCCCACCACCTCCCGGCCCTGCCACTCTTGAGATGTGGGATAGGTGCCCAGCCGTGTGTGTGTGTGTGTGTGCGCGCGCGCGTGTATGTGTGTGCGTGCAGGAGGTGGAGCCAAGCCAGGGATTCTTGGGGCGCCTAGAGGGCTGAACAGGAAGGAGAGGGAGGGTGAGAAAGCCAGCTCTCAGGGGAGAGAACGGAGGAGACGCCAGCACAGTCTCAGAGTAGCGGCCAAGGAGGGGAGCCAGATAGCCTGGGACAGGTCCCCCAGCCCAGCCAGGGGGGTGACAGCAGCAACTGGTCCACATGATGAGGACAGAAAACCAAACAGAAAGGAATTCAATGAGAAACGCTGCGGCAAGTCAGGGAGGGGCGGTGCACCTCACCCCCTGTGAAGCGCCACCCCGAGCTGGGGCGCTCACCCACCACTGTCCAGAGCAGGTGGGATCCCCTCCTGTGTCAGCACCACTCTTTGGGCCCATTTCTGTCCAACCAGGGACTTGGGATGGGGACTGACGACAAGGGAGGCACCAGGTCAGAAACGTGGGCTCACAGGAGTGTAACAGGGACCTGCACAGTAAGGGCAGAGCGAGACTGCAGCCCCCCGGCCTGCCGGTTGAGCAAATCCTCCGGAAGACTGGGCCTGGGCACCCGGCCCTGCCAGGTGACATGAAGGGAGAAAGGGCAGGCAGTGGCAGGCCTAGCCACTCAGTGGGTGCAGGTCAACTTTGACCTTCTCCCCGCAGCTCAGCATTCCAATGGTAGGGAAGAAGCCTCCAGAAGGTACAACAGCATCTTTCTTCCCAATGATCTTGCCATTCCGGGTGAAGAAAACCTGGGACAGAGATGGGCATAGGAATGGAACGGGCAGGCTGCAGCCTCTTCTGCCAGAGGAACTACACATTCAAGGCCCAAACAGGCATGGCATAATAAGAGACCACAAGGGGGCGCCCTGGGCTGGAAAACTACTGTCTCCCCCACTCAGCAGTCCCTTGCAGGCCCCTTTCCCACCTGGCCCCGGACCCTGCAACATCCTGCCCAGCCAAGCGCTCCAAGTACTCACCACCACCTTCTTGCCCTCGTGTTCTTGCTCTATCTCTTCCCCATCATCTTCTTCCTCTTCCCCCTCCCCTTCCTGGTGCAGGTACATGACATTCCGGACGTTCCGGACGGCCCGGGCAGTTGGAGACAGGATTACTGTGTCACAACTGTCATCACTGTCCCCTAGGAGACCAAAAAACCTCAGCTCCTGGGATCATCGCCTCCACCCTTGTCCCAACCAGCCCAACTCACCTTCGCTGTCCAGGATGTAGTCACGGGGGAACATGATGCCACAGCCCATGATGTCTCCTTTGTAGCAGCGCGGCCCAAAGGGGTCCCCCATGCCGCTGCCATGGAAGATCTTCCCATCATCTGTGGGAGGGAAAGGACAGGACCAGGCTGGCAGGGGGTCTGACACTGAATGCCCAGTGGGCACTTGCCCACCTGCTGTGCTGGCTCAGAGGAGACACATGTGGGAAGGGACGCAGCGCGTCCCTCAACACAAGGGAACTGGTGGGAGCAAGGGGAGGCAGGGGAGAGGTGGAGAACTCAAAGCTGCTAGATAAGGACCCAGAGCGAGCCCAGCAGACCCCAACAAGCAAGCAGAGCCTCTGCAGGTCTGCGGGAGGACGTAGAGGCAGTAGACTCAGAGGCCTGGAATGTCCAGTTGGGGCCCAGATCTCCCGCTGTGGCCTGCTCCCCTGGCTTTCGGGGCTGGGAGGAGAAACATGGATGGGGACAAAGTGCTGGCAGTCCGGAACAGGGGAGGGTCAACTGCAGAAGGGGAAAGTAGCCAGGCCACTCATAAGGGGAGCGGCCCAAACGAACGCCCCAATGCCTCAATTCCCATCCCCCACCCCACCCTCACTACTCTCCCTACCCTAGGGCAGCCCTACTCACCTGCATGGTAAGCCACGGAACCTCGGCTCCAGCCAGGGTGCCTGTTCTTGGGGTAGTCCTGCAACAGGCACAAAGAAGCAAACCTGTGGTGCCACACATACCACACAGGAGAGGGAAGGGGCAGAGGGCTGCCACTGAATCGGCCATGCTTTTGCAATAGGCTCCAACCCAAGAGATGGCTGCTCGCCAGGCCCCCGCAATCTCACACAGCCTGGGCCCACAGGGGCAGCAGGGAGCCCGCCCTGAGACAGGCCTCGGCGTGCGTGGCGTGCAGAGAGCAGTCACAAAGCTCTCCGGTTCTCGGTTGAGTGGGGTCTACCCTTCCACATTCCATCTCAGCTTAAAGCCCTCCCTCCACAGCCTGGGTGCCCCTGGGCTTCCCTAGAGATGATGGGTTCCATGACAACACAGCCCCATATGCAGAGTACCCCAGAACCCATGCCCACCTTCCGGGCCAGGCCCAAGGCGATGTAGCATTTTTCTCCGGGGTCCACAATCTCCACCTCAAAGTAGTGGCTGCGGGTGCTCAGGGGGTGCCGGGCCTGGGCGAGCCCCACATCCACGATGCTCTTGCCCTTCCCCAAGTATTCCAGCAGCTGTTGGAGGAGACCAGCGTCAGCAGGAAGGGTGGTGTTAGGTGAACACCACCTGCAAACCTGGTCCTCAGGCAGCCTGGGTACAGGCTTTAAGGTTGAACAAAAAGCAAAACAAAAACAAACAAACAAAAAAATGGCTCTAGAAGAAGCACAAGGTAGTCTCAACGACCCAGGCAGATGTGGAAGAATGAGGGCAGAGTGGGGGGTGCTGGTGGACAGCATGGGCAAGAGAAGCCCCCCTCCTTCCCACTGACTGCCTTGCTGCCCTCCTACTAACCCTAAGGCCGGCCCTGCTTGCCAAGAGCCAAGGCGGAGTAGGGCAGTGGTTGGAAGGCAAGATTTTCTGGCTGGGAGCCAGGCCAGGGGACCCCAAATGAGAATCACTTCACTGAACTCACCTGCTGGCCCTTTAGGGAAAAGCAGTGCAGATTGGCCTGAGATGAAGTGGGGTGACTTTCTCAGGGGACCCAATGGGGATATGGAGTATACACAAGTTAGGGGCGAATCCCAGAATTTGGGGGCTGGGGTGGGGGAGGCAGAAAGGGGTGAATTCAGAAGCTAATTCTGCAGAAGGGACTGACACAAGCTCTCAAGGTCTTTGCCGGGCTTCGTTTTGAAGAAAGGGGTTCATCACTGGGTCAGGAGGCGGGGAAACTGTGACAGTCAGCTCTGCTGCACCCCTGCACCATGAGGAGGCTTCCTGTCCCCAGCCCCTGGCCGCCGCGTGAGCCAGCTGTGGGGAGCTGGCAGAGGGCAGATGACGGGTGGGACTCAGTGGAGCCACTGTGGCTGTGCCTGGGCATGATGGGGTAGCAAGCCCTGAGCTGGGAGGGTTTATTTATCAGTTGTCATGGTAATAGTGGGGTTATGACTCAATCCCAGTCCCCTCAGTCTCCTACCCTCAGCACCACCTGGGATTCCTTAATCCCCTTTTAATTAGCTCAAAACTACCCCTCAGCTATCCTCCCACCCCTTCAGCTATGAAAGAAAGAAGGAAGGAAAGAAGGAAAAAAGGAAAAGAAAGAAAGAAAAAAGAAAAGGGGCCCGTGCAGTGGCCTAGCAGCTAAAGTCCTCGCCTTGAACAGACCAGGATCTCATGTGGGCGCCGGTTCTAATCCCGGCAGCTCCACTTCCCATCCAGCTCCCTGCTTGTGGCCTGGGAAAGCAGTTGAGGATGGCCCAAAGCCTTGGGACCCTGTACCCATGTGGGAGACCCGGAAGAGGTTCCTGGATCCTGGCTTCGGATCGGCATAGCACCAGGAGTAAATCATCGGACAGAAGATCTTCTCTCTGTCTCTCCTCCTCTCTGTATATCTGACTTTGTAATCAAAATAAATAAATGTTTTGAAAGAGAAGAGAAGAGAAGAGAAAAAAAGAGAAGAGAAGAGAAGAGAAGAGAAGAGAAGAGAAGAGAAGAGAAGAGAAGAGAAGAGAAGAGAAGAGAAGAGAAGAGAAGAAAAGGAAAAATTGCTCCTTGGGGACCTCCTGCTCACTGCCAACCTTGGACCCGGCCCTTTACCTGCAAGGACTCCTGCCTGAACAGGATGCACAGCACAGCCTCCCCTGTGGCTCTCAGCACAGGCTGGCCCTGGAGCACAGCTGCCCTTGATGGCCCTGGATCCCTAAAGCCCTGACCCCTCCAATCTATGTACCCCTCATCTCCCAAGGGATGAAGGGGACAGCTGGAGATGCCAGGAGACCACCTAACTGAATGCCCAGACCCCCCTGTCAATCCTGCTCACAGCTCTCAGTGCACTCAGCCCAGCTTCCCTCCCCAGCAAGCTAGGCGGGATGTGGTCTACACTCCAGCCAACCAAAGCAGCCCCCAGCCCACCCTCTCCAGCCAGCATTGCAGAACTGGGTGGGGGACCCCCACAGCTGCCCTTTACCCATTCTGTCCAACTGGCCTCGGCATAGGAAACATAGCGTTCACAGCTCCAGAGCCAAAAGACAGTCGGTCCAGACTCAAATCTCTGGGAAAAACCCGCCCAGCCATTCCCTCTGCCCCAGCCCTGCAGAGGACAGCCGCTACACTTTCACTAAGCTTTGCGGGGGCAGGGGGTGCTTCCTTAGGTAACAACCAGAAGCACCAGTGGCACTGGTCTGGGACTCGAAGTCCACTCCCATTCCCCACCACAGTGGTCAGATGGACAGTTGCCATCTCCATGACCAGGTCCCCAACACGGTGTGCCCTCCCCAGGAGAGGGGCCTTCACCCCTCAGTGTGGGAGCCACCCCGAAGCACCCGGGCCTCAGCCTTCTCAGCACCCTGCCAGGGAGCAGGCCAGCACACACTGACTCCCTAACAGGCCACAGCTGCTGCCCAGGACCCTGCAGTTTGGACTGCTAGAATCAGGGCGCTGCTATACATCTCTGCTCAGATGCCTTGGCAAGGAGACTCCAGCACCCTGGGTTTGAATTCTAACTCCAATGACTCAAGAGCCACAGACAAGACCCAGTCACCTCTTTAAGCCCTAGTGGCTTTTGTTTTTGTTTTTCATTAGTAAAATGGGAATAATACCACCTGTATTTCCAAAAAAGGGATGATAAAAAGACAAGATGAAGTGGCAGGTGCTCAACACAGAGCTGGACACCCAGCAAGGAAACGTCCACCACAAGGAAGGAAATGACCTCTCATCTCAACTCACCTCCACCCCCAGGCCACCCAGAACGGACGTCCACTCCTCAAGCTGCTGCCCCACCACATACCGCCCAATCAACAGGAATGTTCCTCTATACCTTTAGTGGCCTTGCAGACCCCACATCCTCCTGCACCCTCCAAAACACACGTACACACTAGCAGTGCCCAGAGAGGCCAAGCCAGTAGACATGATGGCACAGAATGGGGGTTTCATGCACTCCACACCCCCTCTTTGCTTCCTCCCTCTTCTCTCCTGGTACCTGCTAGCTGCCTCCTCCCCCTGTCAACAGAGCCCCTGGTAGCTCCTGACAGCAGCAAGGAAGGTCTCAGGACCCAGGGCATCCAGAAGCTGCCGGAGCGGGAGCGGAGCACATGTTCACCACCAGCCAGCTCAGGCCCCAAGCTGGTCTCCTTCTGGGGTGGCCCTGGGAGGACTCCAGGAAGGGTGGGGCCTCGGGGCTCCCCCTGCTCACTCCCCGTCACTAAGGAGTTGTCAGAGAGCTAGGAACAGGGGACACAGACCGACCGAGTCGGAGTCCACTAATCCACTGTCCCTCACCCTCCTGTGGTAAGCCCCGAGGAAGGGGTGAGCAAGCACCACACTCCTACCCGAGCCCAGCCCACGGACATTCTGCAACTACTGCGGGGTCTACAGGAGGGGTATGCCTTCGGTGAGGAAGCTAAGGCCATGGAAAGCAGAAGGCCATGCAACAAGAGCCACAACTGGCTACACAAAGATGCTCAGATCAAATAAGTGACTAAATTAACAGTGGTTGAATCCGGGCAATGGGCATACACGTGGTTCCTGCAGTTTCCTGTTTCATTTTTCTGTGTATCTGGAATTGTTCATACAGAAATGGCAGCAGAAACAGTAAGAAGAGCCCGGAGGTGACTTGCTCTTGCTTGTGGGAAGAACCAGTGAGAAGGGAGGAGAGGACCATGAGATCCCGATACAAGGAAGGCAGCAGGGATCAGGACCCCAAGGCAGCCAGGGGAGCACTCCCAGAAGGGTAACAGTGAAGGAATTTCATCTGAGAACCCCAACTCACTACGAGGAGGGGAGGCAAAGGAGGTGTCTGAGTGGGAGGGCCCAGTCTGCACTGATGCACCTCCATTTACAACAGGGTCAACAGGTCAACAACCCACCAAACACCCCCAGGGAGCTGATCCCACCATCCACTGCAGCTCGGGAACACGTGTGCCTTCACTGCCCAAGCCCTGCCGGGGCTGGCTGCTCACCCTGCAGGCAGGCGCAGCACCAAGGGGGCCCAGGTGCCAGCACTGCACGACAGCACCATCCCGCCTGCATCTGCCAGCCCAGGACAAGTTCGGGAGGCAGCTTCTACTGCAAGCATCTTGTTTTGGGACTGGCATAAAATTAGAAACTTCCATGTCAAAAAACACCCCAAGGTGGGAGCCATCGGATTTACAGAGAACAAGGTGGCGCACAGGGGGCAAAGACTGAAGGGCTGTGCTGACTTTGCGGCCGCCTTGCTGTCTGACATCTGAACAAGCCTCTTGCATGTTCTCTGGGGGGGCTGCTTCTCCACCCACAGCCAATCAAGAGGCTATGTGGAAATGTGTGGGCTTCCAGGGGGCACTGCCACAAACCTAGGAGTTGGGGTTACAAGCATCCTGCTGAGATGCCAATGGTTGCTCACCAAGGACCTCCGGGTGAGACAGTGTCAATGCCTGACTCAGACCTCCTGGTGCTGAAGGGCACACACTCCTGAGGGCGTCACATGGCAGAGGCCAAACCAGCCTCCGTAGCAGCAGGGTTCGGAGGCTCCAACAGGCCCAGAAGGAGGACTCAAAGAACAATTACACCGGGCATCTTTATAAAGACACAGGCATGGCCCAAATGATCTCTCACAGGCTCCTCAAGGATGCCACAGCCCCTGTCTGCCTTTGTTTCCCCCAGAGAACTCCATCCTGCTTGCTGTCCCAGGCTGGAGAGAGGATCTGAGAAGAGAGCCAAACTCAATAGTTTAACTTTCGTCTTAGAAAGAAAACATTCCGAAATGAGTGGCCTGAGGCTGCTGGTGGAGGGTGGGGAGGAAGGAAGGCTATTTATAAATGTCTACGGGATTCCGCATCAGTTAGAAAAGATTGCCTGGGAGGAGCTGGAAGCAGAGTGTGGATGAGTCCAGGAACAGACAGGATGCCAGGAAAACACTCTCACAGAGAGGCCGGGGATGCGAACTGGACCGTGGCCCTGGCTCAGCCCCAAATTCAGCTCTGTGAATGTCATCAGAACGATGGCAGAAGGGGAAAGGAAGGAAGGAGAGCCAGGGCCACGGCAGCAGGAGGGCACTCTCCCAGAGATGGACTACGGTGAACCCCACAAGGGGGGGATCTTGCTTATCAGCCACTCCCATCCCCAACCATCTCTGCTTTGCTCAAGGCTGTGGTGGAAACAGCCTGGGTTGGGGTAAGAAGGTCAGAGGGCACAGGGAAAGGCCAGGCCAGGGGGAGCGGCCAAAGGGCAGCAGTAGGGGGTGCAGGGGAGGGGGAACAACTGGAAGTGGGAGGCCCCAGCTGCCAACTGAAGGCCAGGGCCAGACCCCTTATTCAACACCCACCTGTTCACTCCCACCACAGCCAGAGGCACAGCAGGGAGCTAACAGGGTCCAGGAGCTCCCCAAGAAATCTTAAAACCCGGGGAGAGCCCAGAGCAGATCTGAGGAGAGGGGCTCAGAAAGCAAGCCTGGAGACTCCAGGATTCTCAGATTACCTCCACCTGCCTCCCCCCATCTTCCAGGAAACACAAAAAAGCTTGATTTTGAAGCTTGCTCAAGAAAGATCTTCAAAGTCCCACACATGTGCAGGACTTGAGACCATGCCCACCCTGCATACCATGTGTGCAAAAGTCTGGGCCAGCCAAGCTGGGGTCAAGCCAAAAGGTTGAGCCAGGGAGCCTGGCCCCGATCAGTCACCAGTCCTTCACAGGCAAGTGTGCAGGCCAAGTGAACCATACATCAAAAGCAATCCTGACTCGTTTTAAGGGCCAAACAGCTAACTGGAACTCTCCAATGCAGGGGCAGGGAAGAAGTGCCAAGGAAGACACAGATCTGAACCCAAAGTCCCAGGCTGTCCTGCTCCAAGCCTCCTTTCCCCAGAGCCCCTGGCACGCTCACATGCCCCACAGTGCTCAGCCCAGCCCTCCGCGGCTGTGGCCCCCCCCATCCACACACTCACAGTGCCACAGACGCGGACGTCGTGCAGCCGGCCCCACTCGTCCTCGTAACTGTCCACCATCATGATGCTGTCGTCCTCGCGGCCCAGCTCAGCGTTGAGGTGCAGCCGTACCTCCTCACCCAGGGAGTGCATGCCCACTGCTGGGAACAGCCCATCCGGGGACATGGGCATGATGGTAGAACCCACCTGCAGGGGAGAGAGGAGGGAGCCGCCACCTGAGCCACTTTTGCATATCTCATCCAACTCTCACGAGGGTTTTTGTTCTGTTCTGTTTTTTAACGTATTTGAAAGGCAGGTGTCAAAGGGAGAAACAGAACTTCCATTTACTGGTTCACTCCCCAAATGGCCCAGAGGAACGAGAGCTTGAAACTCCATTCAGATCTCCCACTTGGGTGACAAGGGCCCAAGCACCTGAGCCATCCTCTGCTGCTTTCCTAGACCATTAGGAGCTGGATGGGAAGTACAACTGCTGGGATTTATCAAATCAGTGCTCTGAGACACAGGCCTCGAGCAGCAGCTTCACCCTCTTGCCATGATGACAGTTCCTCACAAGGGTACTCTTAAGATGATACAATCAATTAAAAAAGCATATGCACTAATAAGATTTTTAAAAACCAAAGGTACAGAAAAGTCCAAAACCTGTTAGGTACTCCTGGCCAAATAAGATATCCACAGAGCTAAAAAAAAAAGTCTCTTCTCTTGCTGCCAAGCACCCTTGGGCCACATGAGTGTGACGAGAAGCAGGAAAACACTGAGGCACAGCTGCTTCGCCGAACCTGAGCAGGCAACCTGCTCTGGGTGATAGAGCTGGGCAGAAGCCAGAGCCGAACCTGAGCAGGCAACCTGCTCTGGGTGACAGGACTGGGCACAAACAAGGGCCGGGTGCCTCTCGCTTCTGTCTGCTCTTTGTTCTTTTTTTTTTTTTTTTAAGATTTATTTTATTTTTTGATTGGAAAGGCGATTATACAAGAGAGGAGAGACTGAGAGGAAGATCTTCAGTTTGATGGTTCACTCCCCAAGTGGCTGCAACAGCTGGAGCTGAGCCAATCCGAAGCCAGGAACTTCTTTCAGATCTCCCACGCGGGTGCAGGGTACCAAACTTTGACAGGCCATAAGCAGGGAGCTGGATGGGAAGCAGGGCCACCAGGATTGAAACCGGCGCCCATTTGGGATCCCGGCACAAGCAAGGCAAGGACTTTAACCACTACGCTAACATGCCAGGCCCTGCTCTTTATTCTTGATTGCCACCTGCCTCTCCCTGGAGAGAAGAGGGAAAAGGGAAACCATACGCAGAAAGGGGGTGGACGTGCACAGTGCTTAAGGCACCACTGGGATACCCACCACCCATATCAGGGTGCCTGGATTTGAATCCAAACTCCACTTCCTATTAACACACACTCCAAGATGCAACAGATGATGGCTCAAGTACGTGGGTCCCCCTGCCACACACGTGAGAGATGAGGATGGAATTCCAGGCTCTTGGTGCTGTCCTGACCCAGCCCTAGTTGATGCAGGCATTTGAGGAGTGAATCGGCAGGTGTAAGATTTCTCTCTAGAGGATCTGTCTCTATGTTTTTCTGCCTCTCAAATAGAGAAACAGATAAAGAAGTGGCATAGTTCCAAAAGTATTCAAGTAAAAAAAATCCAGAGAGAACCCCCAGCTTTTGTAGTCAGTCCATAATCTTCCTCTTTTTTCCCGCTACCACTCCACCCCCCTCCTGCTCAAAACCTTTCCCAAATACTCCGACTTCATCAGTTTCCACTCATCCTCACTGCTCCTCACTACCTACTCCCTGAGCACCATCCCCCGCCCCTGAGCAATGGAGGCAGCTCCTCCAGCACTCGGAGGCCTCACAAGGGACCGCAGGAAATGAGAACTAAGCTCGTGAGATGCTGGGAGAGACCCAGACAGCCGACTCCACAATTGCAGTGTGGATCCTCAGGTAGCTTCAAGGTCCTTCCAGCCCACTCAGGAATTTTTACTCACTCGCTTCCCATTTTTGGTGAAGAAGATCTGGGCAGTCTGCACGTCGAAGGACACAGGCTCAATGCCGCAGCCGATCCGGTCCCCGGAGTTGCACTTGGACCCGAACTGGCGGCCCTTGGCTCGGCCATTGTACAGCCTGTAGACAGAGTTGCAGGGACACACACTAGTTGCCATCATCTCCCCACACAGGCAGCTGAGGTCTCCCAGCTCCCAGTCACTTGGTGATACTGTGCCTCCCTCCCCGTCCCCACACCCAAGTCCTGGGTAGAGCCCCCATTCTCCTTCAAGCGTGAAAACTTGGTCAGAAGTCTATGAAAAAAAAAAAAAAAGACTCTATGAAAACCTGCTAAGTAGATGAAGAAATGGCAAAATCTATCACCCCAAGCATGGAAAGCCTTCATATTTAAGATTCTCAAGTCCACAGGGGAGGCCCCATTCCCCATGGGGGAACTCACTTGCCATCATCTGCATGGTAGGCCACAGAGTCGGGCAGCCAACCAGGCTGGTGATCCAAGCTATAGTACTGGGGGACCAGCCCCACAGCAATGGTGCCCCGGACACCGCTGTCCACGATAGATACCTGGAGGAAGAGAAGAGCCAGTGGGCATGGGAAACACAGTGACATGTTGGGGGAGTTGAGGTGCATAGGGATGGAGGCTCAAAGGACACGAGGCATGGGAATCTGAGAAAGACAGGACACACTCAGAGATGCTTTGGCAGGGCACGCGAGCCTGCCTTATCACCATTACTCAGCAAATTCCTTCTAAGCTTGGGAAAAAGTCAGTAGAAGGTAGGTTTGGGTCAGAAAGGGAAAGGAGCGCATAGGGGCAGGGTGACAGGACTCCAGGGCCCCCAATCCAAGACGGGGCTCTCAGATCAGGGGTCAAGCTTTGCTGGGCCCTTTCCCTAGCCAATAAGGAGGCCCTGATGGACAAATGAAAGGACGAGGTTGGGAACCTCCATGCAGCTTAAAGATCTCACCCTGATCAAATCCTGGTTCTCCACCCCACTACCTTGATCACCTCAAAATAATTGCTGTCCTTGGTCAAAGGTCGGGAAGCCACGTAGCAGCCAACTTCACCAGAGTTTCCATGGTAACTGAAGGAAGAATGAGGGGGGAATTCCATTAGCAGTGCAATCAGCCTCTCACTCCCCAGCCTGCCCCTCACCTCCATGAAGATCAGCACGGAGGAGAACCCATTAGGACACCTGTGACACCCACACCACAGCAAGACACTTAAGGTCACTGTCCCATTCCCACTGCCTCCAACAGGGGTCCAGCCCACAGTAGGCCAATGCAAGCCTGGTTTCTTTATTTTCATGGGGAGAAGGGTGCGCATCAGCCCTGCGTTGTCTGTCAGAGGTCTCACAAGCCTGCGTCAAGGGACTGGTCTATAAGTGAAGCCAGAGGCTGGGAGACCTGCACCCCAGATCCCAGTGCCTGAGTGCCTGTCTGCTCCCAGTGTCAGTTTCCTGCCAGGTCCCAGGGATGGCTCACAAGTTAGGTTCCTGTCACCCACGTGGGAGACTGGATTGAGCTCCTGCACTCCAGTTGCAGCCTGGCTCAGTCCAAGCCATGGTGGGCACATGAGATGTTAGTCAGCAGATGTGAGACCCTGTCTCTCTATCCCCAGCCTGTCAGGGAGAGAAATGACCTCAGTCTCTCAGGCTGCAACTTCTGCGCCTCTTTTCTGGCCAGCTCTGTCCTCAGTGGCAGCAGAGAAGAGCTGGGCCCCTGGACTGAAGCCTGTGTCACTCAGAAGGCCGCCGTCCCCATTCCCCATGCCACTGAACTAAAGAACATTTCTCCTTTCCCCGTTGTGAGAGAATTAGGCTCCATAAGGAATTGAGGGAAAGGATTCAAGCCACACACACACACACACACACACACCAAAACCAAAACAAAAAACCCACAAACACACATACAAACCAAAGACGAGGGAGGTGTTGGGCAGGATACACTGCAGGCCTGTTCTTCCCAGACAGGAAATCCCTTGCCCTTTAAGGTCTGATCCAAGACGTGGGCAGGAGGAGACTCTGCCTGCTTCTCCTCAAAGCCCTCGGAGAATTCCCGAGACCCCACAGCCTCCTACACAGACATGGTCATCCTCAAAGCCCACCCGAGACAGACTGCCGGCCCGACCATTTCCTTGCCATTGCAGGATAGAGTGATGCTGTGACCAAGGCAGAGAGGGGAGGGCACAGGGAAGCATCAGGCTTTCAGAAAAGCTCCTAAAATCAAGTATACCCTCCCTTCCCAGTGTGCTATAGACAGCAGGCAAGCCCCTTCCTCAGCAAAAGCCACAGGTCGCCTCTCACACCACCTACAGTACCAAAGCCAAATGTAGCAACATTCCCCCTAAACTCACCTTAAAGTGTCTCCGTCCACAAGAATATGTTTGAACCTCTCCTGGTACCGGAAAGCCCGCACCTCTCGGATCTCCCGAATCCGCCGGCGCCAATTCAGAAACCGGTAGTGCAGGTTGAGGTCATCCATCTTGTTCATGAGAACAAACCTGCCAGAACAGAGATTAAGGGAGAAGCAGGACCTTGAGCAGAGCCTTCCCTTAGTTAGCCTGACAGGTCCACACGTGGAAAAGGTGCTGAACTGAAAGCCATCTACTCAGATTGACATCAGCAACCCCCATCATTTACTGAGTTTGTTTTGAGTAGAGCTATTAAACATAAATGGAGTTGGGCCCTGCACAGTAGCCTAGCAACTAAAGTCCTTGCCTTGAACACGCTGGGATCCCATATGGGCACTGGTTCTAATCCCAGCCACCCTGCTTCCCATCCAGCTCCCTGCTTGTATCCTGGGAAAGCAGTCGAGGAAGGCCCAAAGCCTTGGACACTGTACCCGCATGGGAGACCTGGAAGAACCCCCTGACTTTGAGTCAGTTCAAGTCTGGCTGTTGCAGCCATTTGGGGAGTGAATCAACAGATGAAGATCTTTTTCATCTTCTCTCTGAAAATCTGCCTTTCCAATAAAACTAAAATCTTTTTTTCTAAAGATTTATCTATTCTTACTGGAAAGACAGACATACAGAGAGGAGGAGAGACAGAGAGGAAGATCTTCTGTCCCATGATCACTCCCCAAGTGACTGCAATGGTCAGAGCTGAAGGGATCTGAAGCCAGGAGCCCAGATCCTCTTCCAGATCTCCCACATGAGCACAGGGTCCCAAGGCCTTGGGCCATCCTCGACTGTTTTCCCAGACCATGAGCAGGGAGCTGGACAGGAAGCGGGGCTGCCGGGATTAGAACCAGCGCCCATATGGGATCCTGGCTCATGCAAGGCAAGAACTTTAGCCTCCAGGCCACCGCACCAGGTCTAAAACTAAAATCTTAAAAAGAAGAAGAAGAAGAATGGGATCCCCATTCTCATGAGGTTTCCAGTCTTGTATATGTAGGAGGGAGTGGTGGGGGCACAACAGACAAATAGTTGTAACAATTTTGAACAGTGGATGGGAAAAAAACAAATTGTTGTGAAAATGGGGGTGTTTGGGGGAGTGGGCAGAGGACAAAGCTGGGCTCTTTTCAGAGGTGACACCTGAGTGGAAAAGGAGTCAGGCATGTGTTGAACTCCAGAAAGAACCATCCAAAAAGAGAGGCCAGTCAGCACACAGGTCCTTGGGCGGAGGAGCACAGGCACGGCAGATAAACTGAAGGTCAGGGAGGCTGAGGGAGAACGGATGACGGGACCAGCAGCTGGTCAAGACCCTAGAGCTTAAAGTTGGTGAGCAGGTTGGATTCGAGGTCAAGGGTGATGAGAAGTCTCCAACGGGGACCGGCAAAGGACATGAGCAGACAACCAGGAGATTGCATTGGAGCCGCAATGGCATCTGCTAAGATGGCCCCAGTGGGATGACCCCGTCCCAGCATTCGCACACCCAGTACGAACAAATGAACGAATGCATGCATTTTTTTCCTTCCTGGGAGCCAAAAGTGAGAAAAGGGTATTCTCCTCTCATCCCCCAAAAAAGGGTTCCTTGCAGTTCCCCCGACAGCGCCCTGCACATACACAGCAGGTGTTTCTCGTAAGCTTTTGCTGGGCTCAAGACCATCTGAAAGGGCAGATTCTCCATCTCCGGCAGCGGCTATCAGCCACCACGTGGTGCACTGGTGGGCAGCCGTGGGGGGCAGCCCTAGAGTCCTGCCTCCTCCCGGGTAACTCGGGACGGGACGCCCACCCCAGACAGGCGCTGGCGGCCTGAGGGACATCCGTCTGCAAGCGGCGGCAGCACTAGGCCCAGCCTGCTTCCCCTGGTCATTTCACAGGGGGACCAGGGGGCCCCAGCCCGTCAAGGGGACTCCGCCCCGACGCCCCAAAGACCAGGCACCCGGCCAGCCAGCAGACCCCGGGACCCGATCCCGGAACCCACGCCAGGCCCCCGCCAGGCCCCCTTCTCCGCCTCGGACTCCGGGGAGACCAGAGGCCTCCGGGACCCCGCCTCCCCCCGTCCCCGCCTACCGGGGCCGCCGCGTCCTCCTCATCCATAGGCCTCTCAGCTCCGCACACAAGCTCTTCGGCCGCCGCCGCCACCACACACATCCGGGTCCCCGCCCTTCCTACGCTAGTCCGAAGCCCGCCCCTCAACGCCGACCTCAGCCAATCTTTACGGGCTTCTGAAGACGGACACCTGCTTCAGCCAATCGTCGGGCTCAGGGTGTGGGGCGCGGCCCGGTGAGCCGGGTACCTAGCGCCGGGTGCCGCGTCTGGTCTACCCGGGTGGAGGCGACGTGGCGGCGCGAACGTCGCCCCCGGTACCCTGGGCGGCTCCGGCGCGGGGCGGCGGCTACGCTCGCACTCGTCCCATGCCAGCTGTATTTCCTTTGAATCCACTGTGATGAAATACGGGTCGTTATTATCTCACGGAGGAGCCGGAGGTGCGTCCCACGGTTACCGCACACTGTGTCCTATCCCGAGGTCCATTTCCTATCAGCGTTCCTTCGTTCTGACACATTCCATTCCAGGGGGAGAGAACTTGGCAGGCCGAGAGCACCGGGGTGGGAACGGGAGGAAAGTGAGAGGAACAACCGTTACTCCATTTGGCAAAGGCAGAAATGGGTATCCATGGCGAATACCTGCCAGAGCCCAGATCAGCTTGTTCCTGTGGAAGCCTGCCTTCTCTGAGCTCCCCCCCCCCCCCCCCGGGCCCCTGGAGTGTACAGTTGTCACAAACTAACTCACGCTACACCGCTCTTCCTCGAGTCTCATCTCAACCCGAGGGCAGTCAAGAAGTGACCAGCCCAGGCACCTCCCACTTCATCCCACATCAGATCTCCTTCTAGAAGCTCAGCAGGGCCTGGGATGGAGTTGGGCCGAGGAAGGGGTTTTCTATGTGTTGGTCCTCTCTGCTGGGTTGCCTTCCCTTCCAATACCCCCTATGGGACAGGCTCTTCTGGGTAGTGACCACTTTTTTGGCTTTCTTGGGATCTGATTGGCTTTTGCATGTATTTGATGACTGACTTTATTGGGATTTAAAAAGAAAACCTGACATATCATGGGCCGTACGTGTTTGGTAAGTCTTGAAAATAAGACCTGACCAACCACGTTAGTACTGTGGGCAGAGATGGAGTTGATTCTGGGTCTTGTAGAGAAGCGTTCTAAGCCCAGGTTCGTGTACAGCGTACAAAGTTTATTCAGCTGGGGAGAAAACAATCACACGCGTGCACGTGGACGTAATTGAGAAGGGAGCCGCGCAGGGAGAAAAGAGTGGGGGCAGGGAGGCAGCAGGTGGAGGAGCGGCTCAGCACCTGCCTTAGTCTTGGCCTCCGATGGAAAAGAGAGCAAGCACCTCCAGGCACCTCCTTTTGTGAGGTAATGTGGTCACCTGGGAGATTTATGTTACCACCTAAAATTCCGCAGGGAACTTAATAGACATGGTTATGTAGTGATTTGCCCCAGGCCCTGCATGAAAATAAGGTAGCCTGAGAAAGAAAATGTTATGACAAGTAAGATAGAATTACATGGGGTGGGCCCTGGTGCCATGGTTCAGTGCCTAAATCCTCATCTTGCATGTGCTAGGATCCCAAACACGCACCGGTTCCCGTCCTGGCTGCTCCGCTTCCCTTCCAGCTCCCTGCTGGTGGCTTGGGAAAATAATGGAGGATGGCCCAAAGCTTGGGGACCTTGCACTTGCATGGGAAAGCCAGAAGCTCCCGGCTCCTGGCTTCGGATTGGCTCAGCTCTGGCCATTGCAGCCTTTTGGGGACTGAACAATGAATGGAAGATCTTTTTCTCTGTGTCTCATTCTCTTTGGAAATCTGCCTTTCCAGTGAAAATAAATAAATCTTAAGAAGAAGATGAAGAAAAGAATGACATGAGGCAGGGCTGTGTGGTTGGTGACCCCAGCTCAGCAAGCTGCCCTGTCCCAAGTCATCAGGAGAGTGACCGTATCAGCTGTCACAAAGGACTCCTGTGTTCCTTTGTAATCAGTCCCTCCCTCTCACTGTCTGTCCCAGGAGATTGCTGACCTGCTGTTTGTCGGTAGTTTAGCTTGTGTGTTGTTTTATTTAAGAGAGTTGTGGGGGCCCAGCAGTGTAGCCTAGAGGCTAAAGTTCTCACCTTGCATCTAGCAGGATCCTATCTGGGCTACAGCTCATGTCCCAGTTGCTCCACTTCCCATCCAAATCTCTGCTCTTGGCCTGAGAAAGCAGTGGAAAAATGACCCAACGCCTTGTGGCCCTGCACCCACATGGGAGACCTGGGAGAAGCTCCTGGCTCCTGCCTTCAAATTGGCTCAGCTCTGGCCATTACGACCTCTTGGGGAGTGAATCAGTGGATGGAAGATCTTTCTCTCTCTTTGCATCCCGTAATTCTTTCTGTCCTGTATCTGAAACCCTTTGTCAGTAAATTGAGAAGTTAGACTCCCACTTGTCCATTTGAGCTTCTGAATACTTCGGAGGTTGATGTTCAGTTTCATTGTTCATTACTACGCTGAAAGGACAAAGGGCAGCACCTTAGGGCTTCCTCCCTTGCGAAAGGGTGTGGGGTTTTGACTGGTGACAAAACTGGGCAAGTGTTTTCCAAAGTGGCTGGATCATTCTAAATCTGGTCCAGATATTCCACCTCATCCCCAGCTGTTTTTTTATATATATTTATTTTTATTACAAAGTCAGATATACAGAGAGGAAGAGAGACAGAGAGGAAGATCTTCGGTCCGATGATTCACTCTCCAAGTGCCCCCAAGTGACCTCAACGGCCGGTGCTGTGCCAATCCGAAGCCAGGAGCCAGGAACTTCCTCCAGGTCTCCCACATGAGTGCAGGATCCCAAAGCATTGGGCCATCCTCAACTGCTTTCCCAGGACACAAGCAGGGATCTGGATGGGAAGTGGAGCGGCCGGGATTAGAACTGGCGCCCATATGGGATCCCGGCATGTTTAAGGCAAGGCTAGGCCTCGCCACCAGGCCCATCGCCAGCTCTTAGTAGCCAATGCACCAGCATGTGTGAGGAGTCCAACTTCTCCACACTCTTCCACAGGCGTTTTGTTGTCAAACTGTTCTCATCACAGCCACTTAGTGCTGTGAAGTGGAATCTGTGTAGGTTTAACTTTGTTTCCTTGATGATGATAATGATGTTGGGTGTCTTCACCTGCTGGTCTGTCAGCCACACATCCTCTTTGATGCAATGTCTGTTCACATCATTTGCCCATTTTTTAAAAGAATGGCGTTGTGGTGCAGTGAGTTAAACTGTTGCTTGTTATATTCCACATCAGAAGGTCAGGTTCAAATTAGCCTCTACCCTTTGAGCCTAGCTTCCTGCTCACACTCCTGGAAGGCAGCAGGCAATGACCCTGCGGAAGATACGGATGGAATTCCTGACTCCTGGCTTTGACGTGGCCCAGGGACAGCTGTTTGGTCATTTGAGTAGCAAACCAGCAGATGGAAAATCAAATTCCCTGTCTCCCTTTCTCCCCTTCTTCCTCTTCCTCTCTGTTATTCTTACCCTCTTCTTCTCGGTCACTCTGCCTTTCAAATAAATAAATAAATGAATCATTTTTTAAAATTTAGTTCGGGGACGAGCATTGTGGTACAGTGGTTGAGCTGTCATTGGGAACACCTATATAGAGTGGCTAGGTTCCAGTTCTGGCTTTCTGCTGATACACATCCTGGGAGGCAACGGTGATGGCTCAAGTGCTTGGGGTCCCTGCCACACACACGGCACACCTGGTGGAGTTCCTGGCTCCCACCTTCCCTGGCCCAGTCCAAAATGTTGCCTATATTTGGGAAGTGGTTTACATCCCACTCTTAGTCCCTCTGCCATTCAAACAAAATTTTAAGAATAATAATAAAACTAGGCATTTTGCTGTTTCTTACTGCATTTTGAAAGTTGATTACATATTAAAATTAAATATGAGATACATGATTTATGAATATTCTTTCCCAATCTATGCCTTGTATTCTTCCTTTAACCATGTCATTCAAATAACAAAAGTTCTCAATTGTGAAGATGTTCAATTTATAAAGTGCTCTTTTTTTAAAAAAATTTTATGCATCATGTTTTGGTTCTACAGTTGGGAAATCATACCTAACCTAGTTACCAACTTGCTGGCTTATGTTTTCTTCTAGAAGTCTTGTAGTTTGCAGCAAAGTCTATAATTTGTTTTAAAATAGGTTATTTTGAAATGATGTTAGATTTGCAAAAATAGTACTTGACGTTCCACATGCCTTTCACTGGTTTCCTGTCACGATAGCATCTTCAGTAACCACAGTGCAGCCACTGAACCCAAGATGGTAAGATATTAGCGCTGGTACAACCTGTTGGTGCAGTAAGTCATTTGCAGACCTAATTCAAATGTCATCGATTGTTCAGTTCATGTCCATTTCCTGTACCAGACCTAATCCAGGTCATCACATTGCTTTTACTTATATCTCCTTAGTCTTCCTAACCTAAGACAGTCATTCTGGTTTTCTTAAAGAGTATAGGACAGTTACTTTAAAAAAAATAATAAGATTGGGCCCAGCACGATGATGCAGTGGTTAAGGTCCTCACCTTGCACTCCCGGGAACCCATATGGGCACCGGTTCTAATCCCGACAGCCCCGCTTCCCTTCCAGCTCCCTGCCTGTGGCCCGGGAAAGCAGTGGAGGACAGCCCAAAGCTTTGGGACCCTGCACCTGCGTGGGAGACCTGGAAGAGGCTCCTGGCTTCGGATCGGCATAGCATCGGCCATTGCGCTCACTTGGGGAGTGAATCATCGGACGGAAGATCTTCCTCTCTGTCTCTCCTCTCTGTATATCTGCCTTTCCAATAAAAATTTTAAAAAAAGATTTATTTATTTTTTATTTTAAAAGCAGATTTCCAGAGAGAAGGAGAGACAAAGAGAAAGACCTTCCATCTGCTGGTTCACTCCCCAGATGGCTACAACAGCCAAAGCTGAGCTGATCTGAAGCCAGGAGCCAGGAGTTTCTGTGAGGTTTCCTACAGGTACAGCATCCCAGGCATCCTCTGCTGCTCTCCCAGGCCACAAGCAGGGAGCTGGTGGGAAGTAGAGCACCTGGGACACAAATTGGTGCCCATACAGAATCCTGGCACTTAAAAGAGGAGGCT